TAGAACTCAACACTGTCCATGATGGCTAATGCGCTAGGTAATGGGTTCATTCCCACCCTAAGATGATGAGGGTAATAATAATAATAATAATAATAATAATACCCCGCCCATCTGGCTGGGCTTCCCCAGCCACTCTGGGCGGCTTTAGGTTAGAGGGTAATTCCCCTCTAACCTATCCCACCCAGTGTTCGAAATTTGCCAGTGACCGGACACATTTTGCATGCGACTTTCGACCTGGGAAGACGCCGGGGTGTCAGGTTGGCACCTGACATCTCCTTCGTCTGGGGATCATTGGGTCTCGGCTGTTTCCACACACTAATACACCACCCTGCAGAATCAGTTGTATTTTATCTGCGCAATTGCAATGAGTTTTAGAAACCGAAACGCTTTTCTCCATGCACCCAAGTAGGAGCAGGAGCAGTTCAGGAAAAGAGGTTGGAATATAAGGCCAATATACAACTGTCCCCGGATCAAGGGACTTTTCATCGTTTAAGTTCTCACAGCTCTTCACCAGGGGTCAGCAAACTTTTTCAGCAGGGGGCCGGTCCACAGTCCCTCAGACCTTGTGGAGGGCCAGACTATATTTTTTTGGGGGGGGAATGAACGAATTTCTGTGCCCCACAAATAACCCAGAGATGCATTTTAAATAAAAGGACACATTCTACTCGTGTAAAAACACCAGGCAGGCCCCACAAATAACCCAGAGATGCATTTTTTTAAAAGGACACATTCTACTCATGTGAAAATACACTGATTCCCGGACTGTCCACAGGACGGACTGAGAAGGTGATTGGGCCTGATCCGGCCCCCGGGCCTCAGTTTGCCTACCCGTGCTCTTGACGTAGCTCAAAGTTGTCATCTGAACTAGCCAGATTAATTTAATTGAGAAGCAATCACGGTCAGCCCATCATTTGGAAAATGAGACTTTATAGAGCTGTCGTGCCCCAAAATGGCAACTAGGTACAGTATTCTGTTTTGGTGACTGCAACCTTTGTTTAAGGAGCCGTTTGGTGGCCCCATAATATTATTAGTAAACAAGAATCGAAGCATTAGGCTGGCAGCGCTGATTCCTCCCTCCTCTTCCCCAAAGCACACCATATGACTATTACTTATTACTTTCCGCGGTTAGCAGTAAACTAGAATTATGGTAATAGGATGATGATTTCCCCCTCAGCCACCCAGAGTGCAGCATATTATTATTAATATTCTCAGTAATGTTATTAAATTAGAAGTACGGTATTGGGAATGGTGTTGATCGCTGCCCCCCTCTCACCACCCCAAAATACGTCTCTTCATCATCAGATACTGATATTACTAATGTTAAGAATAAATTAGAATTATAGTATTAGCATGACAGTATTTCGCCCCCACATACATTTTAATTAATGGCATGGATAAAAATATTAATACTACTACTACTACTAGGAACAACATTATTAAGAACAACCCAATTACATTTCAATTACCGTATTTTTTGCTCTATAAGGCTCACTTTTCCCCTCCTAAAAAGTAAGGGGAAATGTGTGTGCGTCTTACGGAGCGAATGCAGGCTGCGCAGCTATCCCAGAAGCCAGAACAGCAAGAGGGATTGCTGCTTTCGCTGCGCAGCGATCCCTCTTGCTGTTCTGCCTTCTGAGATTCAGAATATTTTTTTTCTTGTTTTCCTCCTCCAAAAACTAGGTGCGTCTTGTGTCTGGTGCGTCTTAGAGAGCGAAAAATACGGTAACTACAGCAGTAATAATCCCGATAGCAACACCAGTAATGACAACAACAGCAACAGTAACAATATCTGGTATGGCTTCAAACAGGATGGGGACCCGCATGCTGAGATTCCTGCACTGGAGGGGCTGGACTAGATGACCGCAGGGGTGCCTTACGGCACCACGATTCTACGAAGATTATTATTAATAACCCGAACGCATTTCATTTCATGGTGCCAGTGAGAACAATGTTAATACCAGTAACAGCAGCAGAAGCAACAGGAAGTATAACTCCTACCATTAGCAAGCCCAATACATTTCAATTGACGTCAGTAGCGACACCAAAAAGAATAATAGCCAATAACAATAATGACAATAGAGATATTAATCCGAGGGGCGATTCTTGCCGACTGAAAGCTGCATTATTAACAATATTACAAACTGCATGTTATATAACTTTAATACTAATAATAGGGGGAGAAATGGCAACGTTATTAACAACCCTGATGCATTTTAATTGATAACATTAACATTGATACCGACGGCGCGAATTGAAATTTTAACGTATACATTTTGATAGCTGGGATAGCTCAGTTGGCAGAGAATGAGACTCTCGGTATCAGGGTTCGGGGTTCGAGCCGCATGTTTGGCAAAATATTCCTGCATTGCAGGGGGCTGGACTAGAGGACCTTTGGGGGTCCCTTGCCACTCTACAATTCTATGATTGTCTACATGCACTATAGTAATAGTATTATATTACATATAAACATAAATATTCCGTATGTGTATAAAAAATATTCCGTGTGTGTGTATATGTGTGTAAGATCTTATGAAGGATATTATGAGATAAGGGATATATTCCCAATATTTAATAGCAATATGATGTTTATAGTGATGCTGAAAGCCCCACAAGGGAGCAGCTTGATTCCCCCTCCCCTCCTATTTTATATATAAATATATACAGGGTGAGTCCTTTAAAAGAGGCCCCATGGATACAGAGGACATATGTTCCATGGGGCCTCCTTTAAAAGACTCACCCTGCATATATAGTATATATAGTTAAATTATATGTATAATTAAACATATATGTGTGTGTGTGTGTATATACACACACACACACACACACACACACACGTATACAGTATATATACATCTCTATATATTTCTATATATAAAAACATATATTTTGCGTGTGCACATGAATGTGTGAAAATATCTATATCCGATTACCAATATTGAATACGATTATCTCCCCGAGGGGGGAGGAGTCCGGTTCCCCCTCCTACTATTAAATATATATATATATATATATATATATACACACACACACACACACACGTATACAGTATTACAGTATATATACATATATACATCTTTATCTATTTCTATATATAAAAACATATATTGTTTGTGTGGAAATATATACAGTACCGATATCTATATCTGACTACCAATATTGAATATGATTATCCCCCCGGGGGGAGGGAGTCCGGTCCCCCTCCTACTATTAAATTTATATATATATATATATATATATATATATATATATATATATGTGTGTGTATATATACACACACACACACACGTATACAGTATATATACAGTATATGCATCTGTACATATTTCTATATATAAAAACATATATTGTTTGTGTGAAAATATATACAGTACCGATATCTATATCTGACTACCAATATTGAATATGATTATCCCCCCGGGGGGGGGAGGGAGTCCGGTCCCCCTCCTACAATTATATATATATACACACACACACACACGTATACAGTATTACAGTATATATACATATATACAGTATATGCATCTCTACATATTTCTATATATACAGTATCGATATCTCTATCAGATTACCAATACTGACAATGATTAGCCCCCCCCGTTGCCCCCTCCCCTCGCTCGCCCCCCCCCCCCCCGCCGCTCACCTGCTCCGGCCGCCTGAGGCTCCCTCAGCACCGGCGCCCCCCAGCTGCCGCCGCCGCCGCCCCCTCCTCCTCCTCCTCCTGCCTCGAGGGCTCCCGCCCCGGCCTCTGCCCCTGCGGCCTCGTCGGGCGCCTCCAGCTCCATGGCCGGCGAGGGAGGGCGGCAGGCAGGCAGGCCGGGCCTCGGCTCTCCTCAGCTCCGCCGCCGCCGCCGCCGCCGCTTCCCCTCCTGAGGAGACGCCGAGAAAGAGCCAGGCGGCAACGCGCAGGCGCGGACTCGCGAGCCGCTCTGGCCGCCGCCGCCGCTGGCTAGGATGGGGCTTCGGTTTCCTCCTGCGCAGGCGCGAGATCGGAGGTTCCCGGGATGTGTTCGGGAGGGCGGCCGCTCCTTGTGCGCAGGCGCGCCCGCTCGCCGCCGCAGGACGCGAGGGGCGGGGCTGGAGGAGGGCTTTCCGGAGGGGCCGCTCTGGCCGCCGCCGCTCGCTCGCTCTGAAGCGCAAAAGGGAACGTTCGGAAGGGCTTGGGAAGGGCTCCTTGTGCGCATGCGCGCCTAGGCTGCTTGCCCGCTGGTGCACGTGGCGCTGGAGCAATTATTATTATTATTATTATTATTATTATTATTATTATTATTATTATTATTATTATTATACACCAATCCTGGTCTGCTTGCCAGCCGGTGCACGTTGCACATAGCATGGGTGATAATGATAATATGATAATAATAATAATAATAATAATAATAATAATAATAATAATTTATTATTTATTATTTATACCCCGCCCATCTGGCTGGGCTTCCCCAGCCACTCTGGGCAGCTTCCAAAAAAATATTAAAATACCATAATACATCAAAAATTAAAAGCTTCCCTAAACAGGGCTGCCTTCAGACGTCTTCTAAAAGTCTGGTGGTAGTTGTTCTCTTTGACATCTGGTGGGAGGGCATTGATGATGATGATGATGATGATGATAAAAATAATAATAATTAAGTCCAGTCAAGGGTGACTATGGGCTTGTGGCGCTCATCTCGCTTTCAAGCCAAGGGAGGCGGCGTTAGTCAGCAGACAGCTTTCTGAGTCATGTGGCCAGCAGGACTAAACCGCTTCTGACGAAACCAGAGCAGCACACAGAAACGCCGTTTTCCTTCCCGCCACAGCGGTACCTATTTATCTACTTGCACCGGCATGCTTTCGAAACTGCTAGGTTGGCAGGAGCTGAGACAGAGCAACAGGAGCTCACCCCGTCGTGGGGATTTGAACCGCCGACCTTCCGATCGGCAAGCCCAAGAGGCTCCGTGGTTTAGGCCACAGCGTAGCCACTGTGAAAACAGAGACTGCCTAGGTACATACACGCAGAGAGCCGAACGTTGTCCGAAAACTGCATTTTAATAACAGCTCCTTAAGTTAAACCAGAGGTGAGAACCAGCAGCCTCGGGACCTAGCTTTTCCCCTTTCGATACTGAAACACCCATCCCGACAAATGAATGAATGACTCCCCCCTCCCTTTCCTCTCTGTCTCCCCCCCCCGCCCCCGGACCCCCAGACACAGACAACTTCTGTTTCACTTTCCTGACAAATCAGCTCTAGGCACAAATCTAGTGGGAATTCCACTCACAGTCACCATAACCCACGTCACGATGGAGCCTACGTCAAAACACCAAAATGAATCCGGAAGCCATCGAGCCGCCACACCCCTCCCAACCCTGCTCTCTCCCCGAGTCCGTCAGAGGCCGGCCCCCTTCTTTGCGCCGCTCACGCCGGAGGGGCGCGGGGTCTGCCCGCGGGGCCCTGCTTTTCGCAGGCTGGAGAGCAGCCTCTGTTTGAAGAATCTCTCGCCGTACTGGAGTCCGTTCAGGTGCCTCAGCGCCGGGGGCATTTCCTCCCGCGAGACGCCCACGTAGACGGGGATGACCTTCGCCCCCTCCCGGTGCACCGCGTGGTCGAGGTTCCACTCGGCCACCCGCCGGCACCAGGGGTTGGCCACCGAGCGGGGCGTCAGGAGGAGGATGGCCACGCGGCTCGCCTGAATGACCTCGCCCACCGCCGAGAGCTCCGGCCGCCCCGCCACGTGGTCCTGGTGCTCGACGTACCCCCGGAAGCCGTGCTCTGCCAGGAGCTGGCAGATGGCGGTGGCAACGGCGTCGTCATCCAGGCAGTACCAGAGGGAGAAGTCGTAACGGAGCGAGGGGGAGGTCATGGCCGAAATGGCGCAAAAATGTGGGGGAACGAAGAAAAACGGCAAAAAAAATGCGGGCTAACCCTCCCTGTTCGCCCAGCCCCTACCCTCAAAAGTCCACCTGTCCCAGCTTAGGAAGGAGGGCGCCCGGCTTGCCTTAAGTCTGTGCGGACGAAATGAAACAAGGTCCCGGAAGGGAGAGCGAATGTCATGAAATCTGGGGAGGCGGGCAGCGCCGCCGTCGGGCATTTCGCGGCAAGGCGGTGTGGAACGGGGCAACTGCTTTGGCACACATTCACAAGACCGAGCACACAGACAGTGTTTGAGTGGCGTAGCTTATGCATGCTGGAGCCGCCGCGGGCAGCGGGGGCGCGATACGGGCCGGCCGCTCAGGGCGCTTGGTCGCTGGCCCACCTCCCGGAGCGGGCGTCATCTCACAAGGCCCTTTGCTTCATCTCCAAGATCCCCTGCTCTAGAGTCGCTCCGGCCAGCTTGAGCTCCTCGCACTTCTCCTTGAGCAGGCTGCAGGCTATCTGGAGGCGGTGGTTCATCTCCACGTACGACTGGGTCAGCCGGTAGAGGCGCTCGCGTTTGGCCTCAGGGTCTTCGTTCTTGGTTGGGGAGGGCAAGTCTGAGCGGCAGGTGGAGAGAGAGAGAGAGAGTGAGAGAGAGTTAAGAATTTGTCAAGAATGTATAACTTGCTGTTGAAATGGAATACTCAGGATGAAACGGTGAAATCTGCTATGATTAAATGGGCACAAGATGTTGGACATAACATTATGATGGCTGACTGGGAACAGTTATGGACCACAGGTATGAAGTTTACGGCATGCAATGCCTTAAGAGAGAATATTACGAAAATGATATACAGGTGGTACATGACACCAGTCAAGCTTGCAAAAATCTATCATTTGCCCGATAATAAATGTTGGAAATGCAAAGAAACTGAAGGTACATTCTTTCACCTTTGGTGGACGTGCCCAAGGATTAAGGCTTTCTGAGAGATGATATATAATGAAATGAAAAAGGTATTTAAATATATCTTCCTGAAGAAACCAGAGGACTTTCTCCTGGGCATGGTCGGCCAATTGGTGCTAAAGAAGGATAGAACTTTCTTTATGTATGCCACAACAGCAGCAAGAATACTTATTGCAAAGTATTGGAAGACACAAGATCTACCCACCCTGGAAGAATGGCAGATGAAGGTGATGGACTATATGGAACTGGCGGAAATGACTGGCAGAATCCGAGACCAGGGAGAAGAGTCGGTGGAAGAAGATTGGAAGAAATTTAAAGACTATTTACAGAAATATTGTAAAATTAATGAATGTTAGAATGATGCTGGATTGAAGTTAAGTGGTTTTTTAGCAGTAATGTCATAAAGAAATATGTAAAAATGGATTGTTAACAGGTGATAATCTAAAGCTATAATATATTAAGATTAAAGATCAGGATAAAAACAAAGAGGGAAAGGATTTGCTGAACCAATAAATTGAACTGGAATACAAAAAAGGGAGGTGTGAGGAGGTCTGGGAAACAAGCAAATGAAAGACAAGATACGGAAAGATTGAATTGTTTTTAACTGTTTTTATTTTGTATTTTCTCTTTTTCTCTTTTTCTTTTTGTAATACTTTGAAAACTTTAATAAATATCTTTTTTAAAAAGAGGAGAGAGAGAGAGAGAAAACAATGGAGGCGTGCTTTTCAAGGGCGGATAAATATCAATGATTTTTTAAAACGAAAAGGAAGGAAGGAAGGCGGATTTCTTGCATGGGACTCGAACCCACAACCCTGGATTAAGAGTCGCACGCTCTACTGACTGGAGAGCCAATCAACAATAACACCATCTGCATGGCTTGTGACTACAACATTGCCTTATAAAAGGTAAAGGTAAAGGGAACCCTGGACCATTAGGTCCAGTCGTGGCTGACTCTGGGGTTTGCAGCGCTCATCTCGCTTTACTGGCCGAGGGAGCTGGCGTACAGCTTCCGGGTCATGTGGCCAGCAGGACTAAGCCGCTTCTGGCGAACCAGAGCAGCGCACGGAAATGCCGTTTACCTTCCCGCCGGAAGGTACCTATTGATCTACTTGCACTTTGACATCCATTGGAGCAATGGATCCAAACTACAAGAAAGAAGATTTCACCTAAACATTAGGAAGAACTTCCTGACAGTAAGAGCTGTTCGACAGTGGAATTTGCTGCCAAGGAGTGTGGTGGAGTCTCCTTCTTTGGAGGTCTTTAAGCAGAGGCTTGACAACCATATGTCAGGAGTGCTCTGATGGTGTTTCCTGCTTGGCAGGGGGTTGGACTCGATGGCCCTTGTGGTCTATTCCAACTCTATGATTCTATGATTCTATGCTTTCGAACTGCTAGGTTGGCAGGAGCAGGGACCGAGCAACAGGAGCTCACCCCGTCGCGGGGATTCGAACTGCCGACCTTCTGATCGGCAAGCCCTAGGCTCTGTGGTTTAACCCACAGCGCCACCATCCCCACAATATCAGCTGCTAAAACTAAAGCTGCCCATCTCCTCACAGCTGTCTAAGTCTCCTCCTCTCCAGTGTTTCCTCCAAAGCAATCTGAGACTGAGCCTGGGTGTCTGGCCTTTGCTCCTCACTCTTCATGCCTCTCTTGGTTCTGGGAGGCAAGGCGCGTGAACAAGCCCCGTGGGGAAAGGGGGCTCCGGTTACCTTCGCTGGGCTCGGCCAGGAGGACGAAGACGGGGTCGTTGGGCTGGGCGCGCTGCACATCTTCGAGAATCTGCTCCGTGCTGGGGGGGTCGGGGCGGGTGGGCAGCACCACTCGCTTCTTGGCCTTGGAGGTCATTGCTCAGAAACAGCTGCCAGGGGGGCACTGGAGGGAGAGAAAGGAGGGGTGGGGATCAGAGGGGGCGCTTGGAGAGAGACGAGGGTCTCATCACAAAGGGGATCACAGGGTGTCCTTCGGAGCAGGGCTGTAGCTCACCGGTAGAAATTTCACAACTCCCACTAGCTTTCTTTATAGTCTTGACAGCTAGAAACCTGGGGGCGATTTTAGTATTTTTGTCCCCCACCCCAAAAAAGGAAAGCCAGCGACTGCTGGATTTGAACGTCTGATTGTGCAGTCAGTGGCGACACCAGGTTACTCCCAATTTTTTCAGAGCACACACACACAAATATAAATTCCAATTCTGTGCAACCTTGAGAGCCACCCCAATTTACAGTAATAATGAGCGCTGCAACCATCTACTGAATAAACAGATCACTTTAACAGGGCTAAATATATCTTGATTTTGCGCCTGAATAGCATAAACCTGAAACTGTTCTTAACCTGAAGCACCACTTTAGCTAATGGGGCCTCCTGCTGCTGCCGCGCCGCCGGAGCACGATTTCTGTTCTCATCCTGAAGCAAAGTTCTTAACCCGAGGCACTATTTCTGGGTTAGCGGAGTCTGTAACCTGAAGCGTCTGTAACCCAGGGTACCGGTGTATCATCACCACCAGCCAATCAGCCAATGGGAGTCATAGCCCTGCAATATTTACAGCGCCACAGATTCCTGATCTAAAGATATTTTGCCGCCCGGCATTGTTCGATCAAATGCAAATTTAATCTAAGGCAACTGGGGGATGCAACTCCTAGTACTGTGTTTCCAGATGGAGCTGCAAGTGGAACAGAAGGCCTCTTCTCTGCTTCCCATAGTCCTGTTTTATTGAGAACCATGAGGAACATAGAACAGGGCTCATTTGAACAGGAGCTGCCGAGTCACAGAATCATAAGTGTTCAGAGGGACCCCTGGGTCATCTAGACCAACCCCCGGCAACGCAGGAACCTTCTGCCCCAACTTGAACCCAACACCCTGAAATTCAGAGTCCGGTGCTTCTGCCGACTGAGCTATCCAGCTCCTTTAAAATTTTATTTCTGTTTTAGAAGGGCGACAGCTCAGAGGGCAGAGCTTCTGCAAAGTCCCAGATTCAATCCAAGCCCGGGATCTCCAGGTAAGGCTGGAGGGCTGCTGCCAGCCAGTGTAAGACAAGCCAGAAGGATCAGCCATCTGATTCAGCTTCCATTTAAACCATCGGCCTGATTCGGAGCCCCATGAGGACTGGAATCTTTTTTTAAAAATTCGAATAAATGAAAGTGTGTAGCTTGGAGGCACAACATTGGTTACATGCAGAAAGTCACAGGTTTAATCCCCCCCCCAATGCCATGGGATCTCTAGGTCGGAGGGGGGAAGACCCCCTTCCCGAAACCGTGCAGACTCTCGCTGCCATTCAGTGCTGACGGTCTGACTTGGATAACCCCCTCACTTAATTAAAACAACAAAATTTGCACTGGTCAACCGGAGTTTCCAGAAAAAACAAACCAAAAGCCCTAGAAATATTTCCTGCGGTGGTCCTATTTCAATGCGCTGGAAGGAATCTTAACTTTCCCCCTTATCAGAGTGGTGGGTAAACAGCTGGACCAAATTGCCAAATCTCTCCCCCCCCCTCCATCCTCACTCCGGCAAACCTTCTCCCCATAACCTTCCCCTCCTTTCCTCTTAGTCCCTGTCTTCTCTCTGACCAGCCTCCTCAGCATGCAAATCCACCGCGCGCTGCCCTAATAATCCTTCCGCAGAACCGCAGTTGAATTAAATTTGCGGATTCATGATGGGTGTGTGTGTGTGTGTGTGTGTGTGTGTCTGCTGCTATATTTTGGGTGGAAAGGGATTTTCTCGAGGGGGAGGAAGAGGAAGGAGAGGACAGTTATACGGAGAAATCCTATCCTCTTTTCTTTTTTTGAAAAAATACTCCTGTTCCCCCACACCCTCCCCCCAGGATGGTTAGGAAGGGACAGCCCATTCATCCGAAAGGGGTTCGAGAACATTCAGTCAAAGCTCTGCAGTCGTCTGTGCGAAGAAGGGGCTCGATGCGAGACGCATGCAGGGTGGGGGGAGAGATCAGGGGAATATATATATATATATATTTATAGGAACTCAAACACTGAGATCCTGCTCTGTTCCAGTAACAAGAAGCCGAAAGCACCAGCCTGAAGATGACGAGTGAGACCTCGTCGAAACGTCGCCTTGACACCCCAACTTTTACACGGGAAGACACCCGAGGACACCAAAACCTGCATTCCTGTACCCGTGAAAATCTACGAAAGCATATATATATATATATATGTGTGTGGAAGAAAAAGGAGAGAGAATATAACAGTTCTGCAGATACCACACCCACCACCCTTTCTGCAATTTCCAGCTCTGGTTAAAACTGCAGCCTCTATTTTCTGCCCTTCGCAAAGCAAGACTCCTTTCTGGTCCATCCGCCCCCGCCCCATCACGAAGACAAACGCCCCCCCCCCAACCAATATTGCTTTCCTTCACACACACCCCAGGGGGCTATTTTCCCTGTTCTTTACAGTAACGGTGCCCCCACCACAAAACCCCCCTCAATTTTCACCACCCAGACCTGATCTCACCTCTCCCATCTCCATCATCTCCATCAAGACCTTTCCAGCTTCCACGCCAACCCCCCCCCACCGCCCGGTTTTCTCTTTACCTAATTTTTCCCCCCCACTCCAAGTTTCTCTTCCCCCTCTACCCAGATTCCTCCCACTTCCCCCCCCCATACACACAAGTCACCCCACCTAGGCGCTGTCAAACACACATACGCCGCCTCCCGTCTCTAAGCCTCTCAAGGAACGTCTATTGCAGCTTTTTCAGCGCCCCCCAAAAAGCCCCCACACCTGGCCCTATTAGTTTCCCACCCTCCTTCCTTCAAACAGATCTCTTCCTCCATTGTCCCACCTGCACCCCTCCTTTTACACCCCCCCCACAGATTCCCCTCATCTTCTGGGCTCTTTCTGCATCTCCACCCCCCATAATAAAAATAATAATATTAATAGCACCCCACCATCAAGAAGGACCTCAATTATTTCTATCCTTGTTCATTTCGTCCTGCTCCCCCCCACAAAAAACCCCCAATATTCCACCCCATAGCAGCCTTCCCCTGGGTTTCACTCCTTTTATCGACACCCCCCCTGTTATCTAACCATTCGCAGCAACCACAAAAGTCCCCCCCACAATAGAAAAAAGATGCTTACTGCCTATCCTCTCCCCCCCCCAATAAACACCAATTTTCTCCCCAGGAGCCCTTTGGGGGCACTGGACACGTCGCCCCCACCCAAGACGAGTCCCGCCCCCCAATAACCATAATAGTCCCCAAGCACTTTTCCTGCGCCCCCCCAAAAAAACCACTCCCACATTTGTGCCTCCCCCCAAAAAAACACCCACTTACCTCTTCCCCCCCAGTAGGACCCCTTTCCTCATCCCTTCTCTGCCCCCCAAGTCAGAAGCCCCCACCCCACATAATTTAAGGCCCCCCCACATATTTGCGACCCCCCAAAAAAACCCCATATTATACCCCCCACTTACCTCTCCCCCCAAGTAGGACCCGTTTTCCTCATTCCTTCTCTGCCCCCCAGTCAAAAGCCCCCACCCCACATAATTTAAGGCCCCCCCATATTTGTGACCCCCCAAAAAACCCCATATTATACCCCCCCAAAATAAGACCCATTTCCTTCCTCTTTCTTTCCCCCCCCAAGTCCACAAAGGTTTTAACCCCCCCCCAGGTTAAGCCCCCCCCAAAAAACCTCCCCCTCCCCCCAGGTAGCCCCCCTTCCTTCCTCACCTGCTCTTCCTCCCTCCTCCTCCTCACCTGAATCCCTCCCTCCCTCCTGGCCCCGCCCCTCCTTTGGGCCCCGCCCACTTCCTCCTGGGGGGCAGCCACTTCCGCTTTCCGGCGGCCACCGCCGCCTCACTTCCGGTGGTTGGGCTGTTGTTGTTTTTTTTTCCCCTATTGGAGCGAAGCGCCGGCAAAGAGCGACGCTCTATTCCTCCGGCGTCCATCTCTGTGGTCTCCTTCCTCTCTTGCCAAGGCGGGCGAGCTGCGGACGGGAGCGTAGAGCTAGGAAAGGGGAGGAAAGGGTGGAGGGGTAGGTCCCGCGGCGGGACGGCGAGACCAAAGGAGAACTTTGCTATTCTACACTTGCCATCAGAAATGTTCCACTGCAAATCGGGTTTATTATCAAAATACGAGTGGTTTCCCCCAAAATTCAGCTGAAAATGCAACTTTGCTCCTTGCAGACAGCTGAAAGTCTGCGCATTTTGATTATAAACATGAGATACGATACGATATCTTTATTGTCATTGTCCATACAGAACAATGAAATTGAAAAACTACATAAAACATTCAAAACCCCTAAAAACTCTGAAACCCCATTTTAAAATACACTACACTACACTATACAGTGGTGCCTCGCAAGACGAAATTAATTCGTCCCGCGAGTTTTGTCGCCTTGCGATTTTTTTCGTCTTGCGAAGCACGGTGTCGGGAAAGTTTTGGAAAAGCTTCAAAAATCACCAAAGTCTTCAAAAACCTCAAAAAAGGCTACCACACCGCGTTCTATGAGTTGCTCCTCGAAGTCAAGTCGCAACTGTATTAACGGTGTTAAGAAAAAGGAAACAAACTTGCAAGACGTTTCCGTCTTGCAAAGCAAGCCCAAAGGGAAAATCGTCTTGCGAAGCAGCTCAAAAAACAAAAAACCCTTTCGTCTAGCGAGTTTTTTGTCTTGCAAGGCATTCGTCTTGCGAGGTACCACTGTACTATACTATAAAAACCCCTTAAAAACTCTGAAACCTATACTATACTATACTATACTATACTATACTATACTATACTATACTATACTATAAAATACACTATACTATAAAATACACTATACTATAGAGACCCCTTATGCTGCGTTTAGAACCAGAATTGCATTTGCGTCGAAACTGTTTCTGATTCGCAAAGGGGGAATAAGTTTGGATCATTTTTGAGGCAACTGTATGTGAAATATATTGTACGTATATCTGTGTATTATGTATATTTGATTGACATGTTTGAAATATCTGGGAAAACCCATGTCAAAAGCGAAGGTTCTTTGGGCGAATTTCCTCAAAAAGCCCAGGGACTTTAGGCATTCTGGCGGTTAGCATTCCAAATGAAAATAAAAGAGTGTTTCTTTACGCGATAACAGCAGCCAGAATGCTAACAGCAAAATACTGGAAGTGACTGAATACCTACAAAAGATGAGCGGCAACTAAAGTTAGGAGAGTACCTTGAGCTGGCTAAAATGACAGAATTAATAAGAGATCACTCAGGTGGTAAGGTAAAAAAAGGAATGGGATTGCTTTAAAAATATCTGAAAAGATTCGGTTCCCTAAGTAGTACTTGATTGTGCTTACGATTAATTTCACAGACAAAAGGGGGGGGGCTGATTTAAATAAATGAACACAGAATACTTGTTATGTAAGAGAAGTGTTGAAGCCGCAAAGAGATAGAGGGAAGTCAATTAATATAGCAGGGATTCAAACTAGTTTTCCATAGCAGAAAGAAAAAGACCGTAAAGAAAGAAAGAAAAAGAAGGGATGAAAACGCATCTCTTTCTGAGAACCTAGTGTACAGAATATTTAAATTAGTGTTTGTATCCTTTGATTAACTTGTATTTGACAAATTCTTTATTTTTCTCTTTTTCTATGTATTGTTTCTGTTATTTATGGATATCTGGACATAATGTTTAATTTATGTTTCTTTTTTTGCGATTTTAAAAAAAACGCCATAAAATAATTTTGAGTCAGAAGAAGAAGAGGAGGAAAATCACAGGGACTACCCCTGCAGGGTCGAGGTTTTTATTGGCCAACTTTTTACACCAAAGGGAGACATCAAAATAGAAAACGAGGTCCTTTCCCAGCAGCCAACCGCCGCTTGCACCGCTCTCCGCATCACAATGACCGGACCTTCTTGAGTTTGTTTTCCTGCCAAATGTTCAGCTTCCGCAGCTTCCGCCAATATTCATGGGTCTCCGGGTCCAGCTCCTCCAGTTTCTTGGGGGGGCCGAGGTGCATCCGGAAAAGCCTGGAAGGGAAAGGCGGCGGGGTGAGCCGAGAAAGCGGGAGAGGGAATTGCGTGACGGTCGAGAGCGCATCATTGTGCCTAGAGGCTAATCTTTGCTCGGTAGAATGATCTGGCGCAGGACACTTAGCGCATTTTTCGCTCTATAAGACGCACCAGACCACGAGACGCACCTAGTTTTTGGAGGAGGAAAACAAGGGAAAAAAATATTCTGAATCCCAGAAGCCAGAACAGCAAGAGGGATTGCTGCGCAGCGAAAGTAGCAATCCCTCTTGCTGTTCTGGCTTCTGGGATAGCTGCGCAGCCTGCATTCGCTCCATAAGACGCACACACATTTCCCCTTACTTTTTAGGAGGGGAAAAGTGAGTCTTATAGAGCAAAAAAATACGGTAACTCTTGGCTTCGCCTAAACTCAAATCCCCCCCAGTCTAATATCCCTAGCGCTGCAAGATCCCAAAAGCGCCTGAACTAAAATGGTCTAGCAAAAACTTCCCTCTTGTGGTTTATCCCCGCAACAGCTGCTCGCTTTGGGTTTTAGTAAAGTAAACAGTCTAATTTGGCAGCGCCTAAATGATCTTCGCTGTGGGTTAAACCACAGAGCCTAGGACTCGCCAATCAGAAGGTCGGCGGTTCGAATCCCTGCAATGACAGGGTGAGCTCCCGTTGCTCGATCCCTGCTCCTGCCAACCTCGCAGTTTGAAAGCAGGAAGTGCAAGTAGATAAATAGGTACCGCTTCGGCAGGAAGGTAAACGGCGTTTCCGTGCGCTGCTGTGGTTCGCCAGAAGCGGCTTAGTCCTGCTGGCCACATGACCCAGAAGCTGTACGCCGGCTCCCTCGGCCAGTAAAGCGAGATGAGCGCCACAACCCCAGAGTCGGCCGTGACTGGACCTAATGGTCAGGGGTCCCTTTACCTTTAAATGATCTCGAGTGTCAGAACCACTTGGCCACAATACGGACATTTTGCCCATGGCATGACTGTTTTCCACCTTCACATTTTGTCTCTCTGCCACCCTATCTGCATCACCTAGCAATTCTAAATAATAGACGCGCTTTGACTCTCGCAAGATTGAATGCCTTGCCCTCGGCTGGACTTGACGGACAATGCCAACAGATTCCACACGAAAAACGTCCCTGTGGAGATGGCAGTCCCGAATCGGTGCTGCACGCCCTTCTGGCTTGCCCTCTTTATAAAGACCTGAGGAATGAGATTATCACCCCTCTTTTATTGTCCATTCCGGGTCGCCCAGCCACTGCCCCACTGTCCTTTCTCTTGGCAGATCTAGATGAGCAGGTGACAGCAAAGGTGGCAAGGTTTTTCGCTGGGGCAATCAGAATAAGATCCACTATTTGACCATTGATTCAAAACCCTTACTTCTATGCTATGGATTCAGGTCAAAAGTATTTTTGACTACTGGATATATTTTGGGCATGGGGGTGGGGGCAAAAGACCTTTCCGAAAAAGCTGTTCCTCTGATTCAAAACGGGAACCGGGAACCTGAGGTTCCTCAACGCACCGCCCCCCGAATCTCTATCTCTTTGCACACATCCTGTGGACTAGAAACTTGATTTGTTAATTTATAAAAATGATGTCTGCGTTTCTACAGAAGGTTGGCTCTTCGTCTGCCGCAAACTCACCATTCCGGATATTCCGAGTCCGGCTTCAATGCTACCTCTGGGCCTTCCTTGTAGATGTTGACTCCCACGGCGTGCGTGGTGAGGATCGCGGCATCTTTGCAAACTTCGGGACCCTTCATGTCTTCTTTGGCGGGGCCTTTCCCTCTGAACTTTACACCTGGATGAAAACACCAAGAGAAGGGAAATGATCCATAATGAATTGGGGGGGGGACGACTTTGCCTCCGTTGTCCTTGAGGTTGCTGGTTGTACTGGGAAGGGAGCAAAAAGGAACAGGTCTTAAAATTGGCTGAGAAACAAAAGAACTCTATGAGACACTGGGAAATAGATATAGGACATAATATAGATTTTAATATCTGGGGGAACTTTGGAAGAGCGATGTGAAGTCTACAGCATGTTATTCCTTGAAGGAGAACTACCTGAAAATGATTTACAGATGGTATTTTACTCCGAGTAGGCTTGCTAAGATGTATAAGACGCGGGTGGCGCTGTGGGTTAAACCACAGAGTCTAGGGCTTGCTGATCAGACAGTCGGCGGTTCGAATCCCCGCAATGACGGGATGAGCTCCCGTTGCTCGGTCCCTGCTCCTGCCCACCTACCAGTTCAAAAGCACGTCAAAGTGCAAGTAGATCAATAGGTACCGCTCTGGCGGGAAGGTAAACGGCGTTTCCGTGCGCTGCTCTGGTTCGCCAGAAGCGGCTTAGTCCTGCTGGCCACATGACCCGGAAGCTGAACGCCGGCTCCCTCGACCAATAAAGCGAGATGAGTGCCGCAACCCCAGAGTCGGCCACGACTGGACTTATATTGTCTACAGTCTACTTGCAAATTGGCCAATGCAATACAACACATCGGCCCTCTGACCATGTGCAGAGTTCCCCCAACCAGCCTCCCCTTTAGGGGGAAAGGAAGGAAGTAGAACCTCCAGAGTGCAGTGCAGTCTACCTGCAAATTGGCCAATAAAATGCAATATATTGTGTACCTGCAACATTGTCCACAGTCTACCTGCAAATTGGCCAATACAATGCAATACATTGTCTACCTGCAACATTGTCTACCTGCAAATTGGCCAGTGCAATGCAACACATCAGCCCTCTGACCATGTGCAGAGTTCCCCCAACCAGCCTCCCTTTGCAAAGCGCCCCCCAGGATCCTGGCTTACCGCCGGCCTTCTTGGCGTAGTTGCGGAGCCCCGAGCCGGGCCAGAGGACGCTGCGGGCCGGGGAGAGGCGGAGCACGGCCCGCAGCTGCAACCCGGAGAGAGCCATGAGCGAGGAGAGGCTGCCCGGGCTCCGCGGAGGCGCAGGGAGTCTGCGCGGGAGCCGGAGAGCATCCTGGGAAATGTAGTCCGCTTCTTTGAATTTTTATTTTATTTTTTTTGCAACGCCGAATGCAGTTGCGTTGGACCGCCTGTGTGGCTGGTTTTAACTGATAACATTTTAGTAATTTTCAAAAAAAAAAAAAAGAATAAAAACAACAGTAAAAAAATCATAGGCAATTTTTTATTATTTTATTTTATTTTTTGAGGTTGTGATGAACTCTCTTTATATATATGTGTGTGTGTGTGTGTGTGTATGTATGTATATGTGTGTATATATATATATATATATATATATATATATTGCACATTGCAATTAGCAGAGACTTATTTGTATTCGCTGCATAGGCTGATATAATCCAATATTAGAAATACTCAGAGTAGACCTATTGATAAATTCCAGGAATAGAAATACTCAAGAGTTAGACCTATTAATGGAGACTCTGGCCCATAAATTATATTGGCTGCATAAATTCCAGTATTAGGAATACTCAAGAGTTAGACCGATTGGAATTAATGGAGACTCTAGCCATTAAATTATATTGCCTGCATTTTTTGTGGTTGTTTAGTCATGTCCGCCTCTTCGTGACCCCCTGGGCCAGAGCACGCCAGGCCCTCCTGTCTTCCACTGCCTCCCGCAGTTTGGTGAAACTCATGCTAGTAGCTTCGAGAACACTGTCCCACCATCTTGTCCTCTGTCGTCCCCTTCTCCTTGTGCCCTCCATCTTTCCCAACATCAGGGTCTTTTCCAGGGAGTCTTCTCTTCTCCTGAGGTGGCCAATGTCTTGGAGCCTCAGCTTCAGGATCTGTCCTTCCAGTGAGCACTCAGGGCTGATTTCCTTCCGAATGGAGAGGTTTGATCTTCTTGCAGTCCATGGGACTCTCAAGAGTCTCCTCCAACACCAGAATTCAAAAGCATCCATTCTCCGGCCATCAGCCTTCTTGATGGTCCAGCTCTCGCTTCCATACATCACTACTGGGGAAACCAGAGCTTGAACTAGACGGACCTTTGTTGGCAAGGTGAGTGTCTCTCCACTGGGGTGTAAAGGTAAAGGGACCCCTGAGCATTAGGTCCAGTCGTGGCCGACTCTGGGGTTGCGGCGCTCATCTCGCTTTACTGGCTGAGGGAGCCAGCGTCCAGCTTCTGGGTCATGTGGCCAGCAGGACCAAGCCGCTTCTGGCAAACCAGAGCAGCGCACGGAAACACCGTTTACCTTCCCGCCAGAGCGGTACCTATTGATCTACTTGCACTTTGACGTGCTTTTGAACTGCTAGGTTGGCAGGAGCAGGGACCGAGCAACGGGAGCTCACCCCGTCACTGCGGGGATCCGAACCGCCGACCTTCTGATCGGCAAGTCCTAGGCTCTGTGGTTGAACCCACAGCGCCACCCGCGTCCATGCCTTCTGCGTGCCCAGCAGTTGCTCCCCTCATACTGGGGCCCTGCACGAAATGTATTGCCTGTGAATTTTGTTGTACAGTGGTACCTTGGTTTACAACCATAATCTGTTCCAGAGGTCCATTTGTATGTAAAGCAGAACTGGTTGTAACCCAAGGCACGCTTTCGCTAATAGGGCCTCCAAAATTTTTTGTTCGTAATGCAAAAAAAAAAAAGGGTTATAATCCAAAAAAGAGTTTGCAAACCGGGACATGCATTTCCAGGTTTGATGTGTTCGTAATCCGAAGCGTATGCAAACCAGACTGTTTGCAAATCAAGGTACCACTGTACTTCCAAAATCACCCTTCTTATATTTGGGTAAACCTTGGGTTGCAGTGACGCTTCCAGGCCTGCAGAGGGCAGCAGGCGACCTTGTGCCATAACCACGTGGCTGCAGCAGGAAGTGCCGGGTTGACCATAGAGGTGCTGAACATAGATCTAAGAAATTATAGAGGTGCCTGAATTTCCCCCAACCATCACTTTCAAGAGCACTTGGTTGGAGAAGTAAAGATGAATTGGGATCAGATCAAAAACCGACCATTAAATCAAGGAAAGGAATTAATGAATGCATTGGTCTGTGTGTGGGGGAGGGTCACAATTATTATTTTTTGGGAGGAGGCTTTTTATAGTGATCCAGGAAATGTCATGCCTAGGTGGAGGGAAGGGTCATCTCTATTATTTTCGTGCCTCTACGGTGCCGTTGGAGGACAGCCTGGGAAAAACCTCAATTGCTGCAATGGTGAGAGCAAAGGACCCCTTTAAATGAGGCTGGGGGCTCCCCTCTGCTTGCATGGGAGGGCCAAAGGCGCTGCAAAATTGCAATGGGCAGGAATTGCGCGCGGGGTGGGGGTGGGGGGGAAGCAGAGTCCAAAATTTAAGAGTTTTTTGCTGCAAACCCTGCAAAAAAAACCCACACCACCAAATTCAGTAAAAGGAAATTTGGAATTAAAAGTGGCGATACCAGCAGCGGCCACCGGAGGGCGCGCGCGCGCACTTTATAAACTTCCTCGTTCTATTCCGTTCCTTTCCCATCTAAGCTATTAGTGCCAGCACTGACCGGCAGCTGAGCTTTCAGACAAGCTTTATTTATTTATTTTTTTGCCAGCTTTTCTGTGGGAATCGGAGGTGGAGAGCCAGGAAGGGGACCAGGGAAGGGACATAGGGAACCATTAATGCGCTAATAATAATAATAATAATAATAATAATAATACATTTGTTATTTATACCCCGCCCATCCAGCAGGATTTCCCCAGCCACTCTGGGAGGCTTCCAACAAAACACTGAAATACAATAACCTATCAAACATTAAAAACTTCCCTAAACAGGGCTGCCTTCAGAAGTCTTCTAAAAATTTGGTAGCTCTTATTCTCTTTGACATCTGGTGGGGTGTCAAATAGAATTGGAAAGGGAACCAAACTCGAACCCGCGACCTTGAGATCTAAGATTCGAATGCTGTACTGACATGTAGGCCAGATCCCTTGCTTGAGCCGACTGGGGCGGTAGAGATCGAAACCATGAGGACCGGAACCTCGGTTCATTTTTATTTGAAGCCAACGATTTCGGCATTGCCGGGGGTGGACTAGATGACCATCAGGTCCCTTCCAACCGTACGATTCCACAATTCTATAAGTCTATTCCAGCTCACAGACTCAACCCCCAGTAGCCTGGTGCACCTCTGACTCGGTCCAAAGCTGTTTCTTCCTATTTAAAACCAGGTCTTTTACCGTATTTTTTGCTCTATGACTCACTTTTCCCCTCCTAAAAAGTAAGGGGAAATGTGTGTGCGTCTTATGGAGTGAATGCAGGCTGCGCAGCTATCCCAGAAGCCAGAACAGCAAGAGGGTTCGCTGCGCAGCGATCCCTCTTGCTGTTCGGGCTTCTGAGATTCAGAATATTTTTTTTCTTGTTTTGCTCCTCCAAAAACTAGGTGCGTCTTGTGGTCTGGTGCGTCTTATAGAGCGAAAAATATGGTGATTCGGAACAATGAAGACTGGAAACTTGACTTCTGGGCTTGGTCCGGTCTCAGGGAGCAGTTCCGATGTTCTCGGGTTAGGCTAATTGATCGGAGGAGAATTAGCCTTCCTGCTGATGTCGGACTCTGGAGTGGGGGCCGATATTTATCGTATGTCCCCCAACTCATGAAACCCCTGCCATTGCGGTCCATGGCTGTCCGAGAGTCATAGCTGGAATGGAGCCTCCATGCAGGGGCGCAGTCTATTGTTGTTGTTGTTGTTTAGTCGTTTAGTCGTGTCCGCCTCTTCGTGACCCCCTGGACCAGAGCACGCCAGGCCCTCCTGTCTTCCGCTGCCTCCCACAGTTGGGTCAAACTCATGCTGGTAGCTTCAAGAACACTGTCCCACCATCTCGTCCTCTGTCGTCCCCTTCTCCTTGCACCCTCCATCTTTCCCAACATCAGGGTCTTTTCCAGAGAGTCTTCTCTTCTCCTGAGGTGGCCAAAGTCTTGGAGCCTCAGCTTCAGGATCTGTCCTTCCAGTGAGCACTCAGGGCTGATTTCCTTCAGAATGGAGAGGTTGGATCTTCTTGCAGTCCATGGGACTCTCAAGAGTCTCCTCCAGCACCAGAATTCAAAAGCATCCATTCTTCGGCCATCAGCCTTCTTGATGGTCCAGCTCTCACTTCCATACATCACTACTGGGAAAATCATTGCTTGAACTATATAGACCTTTGTTAGCAAGGTGATGTCTCTGCTTTTTAAGATGCTGTCTAGGTTTGTCATTGCTTTTCTCCCAAGAAGCAGGCGTCTTTTAACTTCATGACTGCTGTCACCATCTGCAGTGAAGGCGCAGTCTACCTCGGCTTAAGGCCCGCCGGCGTCCTTTAAACCCACATTCCAGACTGTGGGCAAACACATCCTGCCTGGCTTTTCCTTCTCGCCCGCACTAAAGGGTCGGTGTTGGGAGGCGAGACTCAAACCCGGCACCCGCCAGCTCCAATGAGCCAGCGGGGCAGGGAAGGGGGGAAACATTAGCTTGTCTGAGATGGGACACACACAGACCCCAACTGCCGCCCCAGGATGGATGTTTTTCGGCGGCATAGATGTTTCTGCCAACCCGGGCGGTTTGGGCGGCCTGCCACGAAGGCGTTTTGGAGCCCTGTAGCCTGGAAAGAGCATGGAAACTTGTCGGTTTTAATTGGGTGGGGGAACGGAAACCCCCCTCCAGCTGCTGTTGTTGGGCCTGGGGGTTCGGCACAGGCTGTCAATTTCTCCTGCAACCCACCCACAACCTTGTTTGCAACAGGAGATGGGGGGGAAAATTGTCTGTGCATGCCAAAACCGCGTCCTGGAGGTGTCTCTGAATTGATGCCGTCTGCCGTGAGGCCGGGAGTTTGTTGGAGAAACGGGACAGAGACCAGGAAGCCGCCGGGTCTGTGTTTATGGGGCATATCTCTTATTTATTTATATTTAAAAATTAATATTCAACAAGACGAACCTTGTGGTGCTGTCCAGCTCCATGATCCGACGAGGCAGCAGCCAGGCACGAAGCAAAGGACATGTTCTTCTAAGGATAGTAAAGTTGGATGATATGTTATTGTTAAAATTATTGTGTTGAAATTTCTAATAAAAATTTTAAAAGGAAAGTTGGAAAGGGGTCCCCGGGGTCATCCATCCCAACCCGCTTGCAAGGCAGGAATCTCGGCTAAACAGAGGACCACCCAACCTCTGTTTCAAAACCTCAGAGGAAGGAGAATTGTCCACCTTCCCATCCCGTCTCAAATGCCTTGGTACTCAAACAACTTGGAACCCAAACACTGAAAACCTAGAAATAAGTGTTCCGGTTTGTGAACATTTTTCGGAAGCCGAACGTGCTCCGTTTTGAGCGCCACACTTTGGTTTTGAGCGTTACGCTGAGGTCTGTCTGTTTTTGCTATTTATTTTTCGTTTTTGCAGCTCTCTCTCTTTCGTTTTTGTGACTGTGTGCAACCCAGTTCAGCTACTGATGGATTGATTCTGCGACCGCAGCACATTGATTATTGCTTTCATTTTATGGATCAACGGTCTCGTTAGAGAGTAAAATTCGTGTTCAATTGCCGTTTTAGGGGTTGTTTTTAAAAGTCTGGAACGGATTAATCCGTCTTGCGTTGCTTTCTATGGGAAAGCAGCGCGCCTCGGTTTTGGAACGCTTTAGTTTTGGGACGCAATTTCCACAACGGATTAAGTTTGAGAACCAAGGGACCATTGTACAATGGGAGATTAGGCTCTACCCAAAGGCGTCGTAGACTTTGGAGGCGCCCGAACCCGGGACGAAAGGGGGAAACGATCCGAGAGGAAGGCACGCTTGACAGATCCTCTCCTGGGATCCACTTCCACCTAGAAACTACCATTAGGACCATGGGTAGGCAAACTAAGGCCCGGGGGCCGGATCCGGCCCAATCGCCTTCTCAATCCGGCCCACGGATAGTCCAAGAATCAGCATTTTTTTACACAAGTAGAATGTGTCCTTTGATTTAAAATGCATCTCTGGGTTATTTGTGGAGCATAGGGATTCGTTCATTTTTTTGCTTTCCAAAATACAGTCTGGAAAGCGAAATACAGTGGTACCCTTGGTTCTCACAGGAATCCGTTCATTATTATTTTTTTTCAAAATATGGCCCCCAACAAGGTCTGAGGGACAGTGGACCGGCCCCCTGCTGAAAAAGTTTGCTAACCCCTGATTAAGACCATCATGGAAGACCGTCCTCCTCGCCATAGGAGGAGGAGAAGAAACACAGCCGCGGTTTTCACCTGCGATTCCTGCATCGCAAGGGGGTTGGTTTGGATGACCCTTGGGTGTCCCTCCCAGCCCCCCAATTCTGTGCCGCCAGCCTGCTCCTTTGGCCCAGGCCAGGCTTCAAAACAGCCCAGCGGAAACTTCCTTATGAAGTGCGATCGAAAGCCGGATTTGGCACGGCAGCCAAACCGGACACCGTTCCGTTCCAAAGCTCAGGTTTTGGGGAACGGGGGCAGGAATTTTAGGTTTGTGGACTTGCCAGCTCATATCCCCATAACCCATATCCCCAACCCCTTCCAGCCCACGATTTGCACGTAACATATATTTATATTTCTCGAAGCGGAATGCAGCCCAAGGGTTCCTTGTTTTGCACACACGCAAAAGGGGAAAAAAGACTTTTAAAAATGATTATTTCTTCTCTTATTTTCTTCCATCGCTTTGTTTTCTGCGACGGAGACTCTTTTAATAAAATAGAGAGAGAGAGACTTTTAATGTACCAAAGAATATACAGAGCCCAAGGTCTGGCAAGAGCCGATTTTGGCAAGGAGAACATGGCCAAAGCCAAAGTGGCAGGAAGATTTAAAGACAATAAAAGAATAACATTTAAGCATTTCAGTGTAGAAATGGTTTTTTTAATTGTTTGCAGAATACGGGTAGATATTCGAGAGCGGCTGGCTGTTCTCCTACAGTTCTCTGCAGACGTTGTGCGAATACGAAAGCTCAGAAAAGTGAAAGGCTCTTTGTTCGTCTCAAATTAGACCTGATATAAATTAGTTCTGATGCCTCTCTCTGTGAGTTTCTGTACGTATTTAAGATACATATGCAAGAGGCTAATTTATAATGGTATTTGGGGAATCACTCGTGTTCTTATGGGACTGTGTGGCTTTATACTTTCTGGGTCACCCGTCTTCCTAGACTTCTTCTGCTATAGGGCAATTCTATAAATTAAGTAGGTCAGTAAATACAGGGAGAGCAAAACATCCCTTAGAGAAGGATCTGAAATATTATCAATCAATCAATCAATCAATCAGTTCTTTATCGCAGTCCAAAGACCCGCAAACGTAACCTGGTACATAAAAATATTCTAACTGAAGCTTGTTTTATTTGATGCTTTATCCGCTTCGATAAAGAGGTACCTAAGAACTTAATTCGTTCCGGAGGTCCGTTCTTAACCTGAAACTGTTCTTAACCTGAAGCACCACTAACAGGAGCTAATGGGGCCTCCTGTTGCCGCCGCGCGGTTTCTGTTCTCATCCTGAAGCAAAGTTCTTAACCCAAGGTACTATTTCTGGGTTAGCAGAGTCTGTAACCTGAAGCGTCTGTAACCCGAGGGACCACTGTATTTTGCCTTTGAAATTGAAAGCGATAAAGAAATGAAATGGAAATGATAATATTGGTGAATGTCACCGCGGGGAAAATAAACGGCACTTTGACATTCCGTCGGGGAGCAGCCGCAAACCAGGTTCAAGGTGCCGTTTGGCGAATCGCGGGTATTATCTGAGTTTTTTAACACTGAGTAGACCTGGAGGAAAGGGACGCGGGTGGCGCTGTGGGTTAAACCACAGAGCCTAGGACTTGCCGATCAGAAGGTCGGTGGTTCAAATCCCTGCGACGGGGTGAGCTCCCGTTGCTCGGTCCCAGCTCCTGCCCACCTAGCAATTCGAAAGCACACCAGCGCAAGTAGATAAATAGGTAGCGCTCCGGCGGGAAGGGAAACGGCGTTTCCGTGTGCTGCTCTGGTTCTCCAGAAGCGGCTTAGTCCTGCTGGCCACATGACCCGGAAGCTGTACGCCAGCTCCCTCGGCCAATAAAGCGAGATGAGTGCCGCAACCCCAGAGTCGGCCACGACTGGACTTAACGGTCAGGGTCCCTTTACCCTTTACCTTTAGACCTGGAAGAAGAAAAGTCGGTCGGCGACCGTGTACAGAGGCAGCGATGCTTCTGAATTCCTGGTGGCTGGGAATCGCAGGAGAGGAGAGCCGCTCTTGTGTTCGAATCCTGCCACGGTACCAAGAGCTTCGGCCCCTCGCTCCATCGAAACGTATCTCCCAAGCTTAATTCCCTTTCCCCCCCATTTGCAGTTGGAAGCGGACGTCCAGACCCTCGTCCACCGCTTCTATGCCCTTCAGAGTGAACGGGTCGAAGCCTACCACCTCTTTGAAGAGTGAGTATCGCTGACCGGTTGGGGTTTTATTTATTTGGGGTGCGGGAAGTAGCCAGGTTTCTAGAGGAAGAGTGGCTTTCATGTCCTGCTCGCGGGCTTCCCGTCGAGGCGCCCGATTGAGGATACCTGGCCTGGAATCGATGCTATGGGACTACAAAGCCCATCGTCCACTGCCAGCTTGGCCAGTCGCAGTGGACGATGGGAGTTGTAGTCCAACTTCTAAACACGATCTCATTGTGCAGCGCTCACGACGACGCATTGGGTACATACATGCGCGTTCCACTATGGGGTGCATTTTGCGCCGCTTTCTACCGTTCTTATCCCGCAATCTTATTCTTCCTGCTCTCAACGGCTGTTTATTATTATTTCTTTGTTTTGTTTGGATGGTTCGTTTCCAAATAAACGACGACAACAAATAGACTTGAAAACGCCAGGATCCCGGCAACCCACGTTCACCGTCGGCCGGTTTTCAGGACCCCAGAAAGGTGGTTTCGAGGACCCCACCAAAGACCCCATCCCCATTCTTTTCTGTGCTGCCCCCAATTTCCGTGCCTCTCCGTCCAACGGGGGAAGGAGGCCCAGAAGGGGTGGGGGGGTTCCCTCCCCGCTTTTCCTGCCGCACCCAGGGCTTTTTTTGGCTCGGGTGCCCCTGATGAATACCAGATGAGCCGAACGGGGGGTGGAAAAACCTCCCTCCCTAGACACCTGTCTTAGATTTGCAGAGAGAAGGCACTCTGGAGCGGGGTCTCCGGGCAGGGGGCGGTAATTGACTTCTGGGGAATCGAGAACCGAGACCCTCCGGCAACCCCCCACGACTCTGACCGAGGGGGCCTGGCTTCCCAACCGCCCCCCTCCCTGCAACCCACATGGCAGGGGTGACGCCCCCCCTTGCCAGGCAGGTTGGTGTGTGTGGGACGGTTCCTAATTCACCCATGCCTCTTGCAAACCCAGCCCAGCGAGGTCACGCCAAAGGGGTGGGGGATTTTTGTAGAATCATAAGATTTGGGAGAGGGATGTGGGTTAAATCACGGAGCCCAGGGCTTGCAGATCAGAAGGTTGGCGGTTCGAATCCCTTCGACGGGGTGAGCTCCCGTTGCTCGGTCCCTGCTCCTGCCCACCTAGCAGTTCGAAAGCATGCAGTGCAAGTAGATAAATAGGTACCACTCCGGCGGGAAGGTAAATGGTTTTCTGTGTGCTGCTCTGGTTCGCCAGAAGCGGCTTAGTTCTGCTGGCCACATGACCCGGAAGCTGTATGCCGGCTCCCTCGGCCAGTAAAGCGAGATGAGCGCCGCAACCCCAGAGTCGGCCACGACTGGACCTAATGGTCAGGGGTCCCTTTACCTTTATCTTTAAGATTTGGGAGATACCCCCAAAGGGCATCTAGGCCAACCTTCTGCAATGCAGGGTTTTTGTTTAAATCCCTGAACAGGGCTGCCTTCAGATGTCTTCTAAAAGTCAGATAGTTGCTTATTTCCTTGACATCTGATGGGAGGGCGTTCCAAAGGGCGGGCGCCACCACTGAGAAGGGCCTCTGCCTGGTTCCCTGTAACCTCACTTCTCGCAGGAAGGGAACCGCCAGAAGGCCCTCAGAGATGGATCTCAGTGTCCGGGCTGGAAGATGGGGGTGGAGACACTCCTTCAGGTCTACTGGGCCATTTAGGGCTTTAAAGGTCAGCACCAACACTTTGAATTGTGCTTGAAAATGTAGTGGGAGCCAATGTAGGTCTTTCAGGACTGGTGTTATCGGTCTCGGCAGCTGCTCCCATTCCCCAGTCTAGCTGCCGCATTCTGGATTAATTGCAGTTTCCGGGTCACCTTCAAAGGTAGCCCCACAAAGAGCGCATGGCAGTAGTCCAAGCGGGAGATAACCAGAACATGCACCACTCTGGCCAGACAGTCTGCGGGAAGGGAGGGTCTCATCCTGCGGACCAGATGGAGCTGCCCTGGACACAGAATTCACCTGCGCCTCCATGGACAGCTGTGGGTCCAAAATGACCCCCAGGCTGCACACCTGGTCCTTTGGGGGCACAGTCGCCCCATTCAGGACCAGGGAGTCCCCCACACCTGCCCACCTCCTGTCCCCCCAAAACAGTCCTTCTGTCTTGTCAGGATTCAACCTCAATCTGTTAGCCGCCATCCATCCTCCAACCTCCTCCAGACACTCACACAGGACCTTCACCGCCTGATTTAAAAGAGGCCATTGAGGTCCTTTCCAACTCTGCGATTCTGGAGACATGAAGCTGGGACGGTCTGCATTCTGCCCAGACCTCGATCTTCACGTCCAGGCAATGGGTACACCGCTGCTTCTCTCAGCTATTTTCTCCCCGCTCTTTCCCGCCAGGGGCCACCGGGCGTATCTCCGAAGCGGCCCTGACTACGACTTCACCCGCTACCGCCAGCTGGTGCATGAGATCACCCAGGCCTTCAGCGGGATCTCGCGGGAGATCCTGCAGATCAAGGAGCAGCTGGAGGGACCCCGCGGGCGGCCTGACCTCGCACAACACCTGGGGCGCCTCCAGGAGAAGGAGAAGGAGAAACTCGAGCTGGTGAGAGAGAGAAGGGGTACGCGGAGGGCGGCCTCAACTTTGCGCCCATTTTACAGGTGCAAAACTGATCCCCTTCCACTTTCGTGCCGGAAGAGTGTTTCAATCTTGTAATCAGGATCGGTGGTGTCTGGAATTTCAGGTGCGGACGTCCCTTGAGAGCTTTGTGTCTTTTTGAGGGGCTTATATGTATTCATAGGGACGCGGGTGGCGCTGTGGGTAAAAGCCTCTGCGTCTAGGACTTGCCGATTGAAAGGTCGGCGGTTCGAATCCCGGCGGCGGGGTGCGCTCGGTCCCAGCGCCTGCCAACCTAGCAGTTCGAAAGCACCCCCGGGTGCAAGTAGATAAATAGGTACCGCTTTATAGCGGGAAGGTAAACGGCGTTTCCGTGCGCTGCGCTGGCTCGCCAGATGCAGCTTGTCACGCTGGCCACGTGACCCGGAAGTGTCTGCGGACAGCGCTGGCTCCCGGCTTCTAGAGTGAGATGAGCGCACAACCCTAGAGTCTGGCAAGACTGGCCCGTACGGGCAGGGGTACCTTTACCTTTACCTTTACCTTATGTATTCATAGAATCATGCCGTTGGAAGGGGTCATCCAAATCAGCCCCCCCGCAATGCAGAAATATGCAGCCGTCCCGTACAGGATTCGAACCCGCCACCCTGGCTTTGTCTCCCATCTGCAACGGATGCTTTGGCTTAAAGTTTCCTTCTTTGCAGGGGGGTTTGACTAGATCGTTTTGCCGTTTCCGTTTCAACCGCTTGCCGTCGTTTCCGCCTTGCAAACCGGCCTGATTTCTTTTCAGGCGACCGAACAAATATTATTTATAGCAAAAACGGGGGGCGGGGGGAGGGGAGAAAGCGATAAAAGACGGAAAATCATCAGAAGTCTAAAATAACATGTAAGACAAGAAGTTACGCATGTGGTTGTTGGAAAAGATATGTTAAAAAAACTAATGAAAATATAAAGGGGGGGGGGAAGAAAGCTATAGCAAAAACATTATTTTGTTAGGTAAATCCTGAAATTCTGGCTTATTTCGTTCTATAATAAAACATTTCTTTTTTAAAAAAACAAATATTATTTATAAATGAATTCTATTGCATTTATAGCCCACCTTTGCTCTCAGGGGCTACTTCCCTCTCTATGCCTTCCCGTTTAATCCTCACAACAGACCGGCAAGATTGGTTAGCGACCAGCCAGAGGTTGAATTTGCACCCAGGTCTCCTCCCGCCTTTCGGGTCTGGGTCTCTAACCACTGCACGGCACTGCCCCTCTGGCAAATTGCCGTCCCAGCAAACTGGGGAGAGGGGGGACTGGTGATTTCTGCGCCCCCTTTCGTCTCCTCCAAGAGGGTCTCACCTCCTCGTTTCTCCTCCTTTCTCAGACAGCGCAGCTGCAACTCGCCAAACAAAATGCTCAGGACCACCCCGGCGTAGAAGCCCACCCGCAAGAGGTTCGAGAGCTCAAGCAGAGGTAAGTGAGGGGGACCCCCGTGGTTGCAAATCGGAAAGAGGGGTGCGACGCTTTTGCTTTTAACCCCCCCCCCAGATTGCATCAAGGCTCTCCAACCGGGAGAAACAAGCGCGTTTATTTTTATTTCCGAAAACTCGGCCGTAACTCTCACAGAGTCTCTGCATGCAGAGACGTCTCTCAATCCTTGTTTTAAGAGGGGAGTCCTGTTGCTTTGAGGGCTTGTTGTTGTTGTTGAGGTCGTGGGTTTGAGTCCCACGCTGGGCGAAAGGTTCCCGCATTGCAGGGGGTGGGCTGGATGACCCTCGGGGTCCCTACGATTCGCTGCAAAATAGTATCCTACCCAATAAGCTCATGCCTCCCTGCTCTAATATAGCACCCAAGTCTTTTCTGCCACGACAAATCTCAGAAAAGGGGAACATTTCCACATCTCGGGGTACTCTTTTTGGCCCGACGGAGCCTGATCTCCCATAATACCCCTTGCGTGCAACCTCCCACAATCCCCCTTGGTCACAATCTCCCACAATCCCCCTTGTTTGCAATCTCCCACAATCCCCCCTTGCCTGCAATCTCCCACAATCCCCCTTGGCTGCAATCTCCCACAATCCCCCCTGGTTGCAATCTCCCACAATCCCTCTTGGTCGCAATCTCTCACAATCCCCCTTGGCTGCAATCTCCCACAATCCCCCTTGCTTGCAATCTCCCACAATCCTGCTTGCTCACAATCTCCCACAATGCCTTGGGTGGAGGGGCAGAACCGCTCTCTCTCTCGAGACTCAGATCCCTTTACAGGATAGTTTTTGCGGGGTGTGGGTTGGTGTGCAAATTCAGCGCCCCCCCCCAAAAAAACCTGTTTATTTTTGCAGAAGAGGGGTCTTTGGAGAGATCCCTCCCCCCCGATTGCTCTGCTTTGGCTCTCGGGGTTTTTGGCTTCCCACGGGCCATTGGATCGCTGCGTTTCATAAACAAGCGGCGAGGGCCGGGGAGGGAGGCGGGCAGGGCCGGGCGGCCCGAGCCAAGAGCGTGCCTAATCGCCTCCATATGCTCCTTTATTTATCGTTTCCATCCGCCCAAAACAGGCTAATTCAAACCATCGAGGCAATCAGCGAAATTCTCCAAGATTTCAAGTACGATTCTGAAGAAAGCTCTTGACGGGACGTCCCACAGGAGGAGGAGGAAGGAAGGGGGCGAGAGGAACACCCCCTGCAAGCGAGCAACGTTCAGATCGCTCTCCCCCCCAGCCCCCCGCCCCTCTGCCCGCTTCCTTACCCGGTCTGGGTTCTGACCTGCCTCGCACGCAGGCCCCGACGCGAGGGGGCTCGGCCGGACGTGCTTTGGCCCTCCGCCCGGCACGAAAGGCTCCAGACCCACGCCGAACGAGCCCAATAAAGACTTCTCCCTAGACTGGGGGGGTCGGCTGGAGCTGGAGATGTGGGGCAAGGGGGTGGGAACGTTCTCCTCGTTCGTTTGGAGTCAATAAAAGCTTCTTGTTTACTTGAGTATCTGCGGGACTCTTTCTCCAAACCCGAATCCGTTCCACCTGGACGTGCGATGGTTGGGCAGGGCATGGGCAGACGGACAAGGTGGGAGGGCGAAATTTGCCGGCCATTTGCTTGCCCCCGTTGTTAGAGGTTTATTGGCAGCCGTGCGTCTCGAGAGGCAATGGAGTGTGCTTCCGGGGGTGAAGCCCAAACGGCTGTGTTAGCGGCACGGAAGTGACGTCCCCGGGGCACAAGCCAGGTCTGGGAGATCCTGGGCCACCCGCCTCACGGAGAGGGTACTGTCACAGTCCGGTTCGCGGGCTATCGAAGTCCCGGCGGGGGACGTCAGGACTGGGGGCAAGATGGCAGGGTGGGAGCAGGAACAGGAGTAAGGAAGCCAAGAGTCTGAGGGTCAGGAAGCAAGGAGTCACGAAGTCAGGGGTCCGAGGGTCAGGAAGCAAGGAGTCACGAAGTCAGGGGTCCGAAGGTCAGGAAGCAAGGAGTCACGAAGTCAGGGGTCCGAAGGTCAGGAAGCAAGGAGTCATGCAGTCAGGGGTCCGAGGATCAAGAAGCAAGGAGTCACGAAGTCAGGTCCGAGGGTCAGGAAGCAAGGAGTCACAAAGTCAGGGGTCCGAGGGTCAGGAAGCAAGGAGTCTCAAAGTCAAGGGTCCGAGGGTCAGGACGCAAGGAGTCACGAAGTCAGGGATCCGAGGATCAAGAAGCAAGGAGTCACGAAGTCAGGTCCGAGGGTCAGGAAGCAAGGAGTTACAAAGTCAGGGGTTTGAGGAAGAAGAAGCAAGGAAACGCCATTTACCTTCCCGCCGGAGTGGTACCTATTTATCTACTTGCACTTGGTGTGCTTTCGAACTGCTAGTTGGGCAGGAGCAGGGACCGAGCAACGGGAGCTCACCCCCATCGCGGGGATTCGAACCGCTGACCTTCTGATCGGCAAGTCCTAGGCTCTGTGATTTAACCCACAGCACCACCCGCGTCCCAAATAAGTAAGTACTGTATATAAACAATTTTCACAAAAGTTATGCTGACAAATAAAGGGGAATCCGCTCGCCATCGCCTTTGCGCCTCCGCATCCTCTGCAATTGTGAATATGCTGACCGAGGCCCCCTTTGGAATCGGAGGCCCGGGCCAAGTGGCCCATATGGTTCCCCCTCTGTCTGGACCTACACGGGTGGCACTGTGGGTTAAACCACAGAGCCTAGGACTTGCCAATCAGAAGGTCGGTGGTTCAAATCCCCGCAATGATGGGGTGAGCTCCCGTTGCTCAGTCCCTGCTCCTGCCAACCTAGCAATTCGAAAGCACACCAGCGCAAGTAGATAAATAGGTACCACTCCGGCGGGAAGGTAAAAGGTGTTTCTGTGCGCTGCTCTGGTTTGCCAGAAGCAGCTTAGTCCTGCTGGCCACATGACCTGGAAGCTGTATGCCGGCTCCCTTGGCCAATAAAGCGAGATGAGCGCCGCAACCCCAGAGTCAGCCACGACTGGACCTAATGGTCAGGGGTCCCTTTACCTTTTTATGGTCTGGGCCTGCGCTTTGGCCTCATCAAGAGCCTGGGCTCTTTGGTTTAGAGACATTCCTGGTCTCACTAGCTAGACGATTTCCTACGCCTAGATTCCTGTGGTCTTGGTAAGACCCTCTCGGTAAGGAAGGGGATATTTGGGCTCCAACGGAGCCTGCGTAGATTATGGGGTTTGGGAAAATAACGCACAGAAAGACGCACAGAAACAACTTGGAAACTCGGCTAAGAGACAAACACACAGCACACACGTCATAACATTTATTTGGAGAAGTTTGCAGAACAAAACGAAATCCACGGGGCTCCGTTTTCTGGGTTGGCTTTTATCCCGTCTCCCAACTTGGAGAAAGGGCTTCTTCGCCATACCAGTCCCCAAATTCAGTGGTACCTAAAACCTCCCTGCAGCATATATATATATATGGGGAAAGGTGGGGGATATTTGCGACTCTCCCTTTTTCCGCATCTTCGAAAGGAGAGCCTGGGGGTGGTTTGCCGGTTGGTGGCGGGTTCGGGCGCCGACGTGGCTCCACACGGTTCTTCCGCTCCCCCCTTCCGGCGACGCTGCCCGATTCCTCGGCTCGCCACCCGGGAGAACCAACCGCCCCGCTGCCTTTACTCCTCTTCGGCCCTTTTCGGACGCCGCTAGGACTTATCGCCGGAGAGGACCTGGGAAGGAAAGAGAGAGCACGTGAAATGTCCGGTCGCTGCGAGGTTCGCTTCCGCTGACCTCGCTCCTGGTGAGCTGCATTAAAATCGCGGAGCCGTAGAATTTCCGCGTTGGGAGGCGAGGGTCATCTAGTCCAACCCCCTGCAGCGGAACTCGAACTCGCGACCCAGGGTTAATTGTCTCGTGCTCTATTGACGGAGCCATCCCAGGGGGGCGACCATCATTGTTGTTATGTCTTAAGATGGGAGGATTCAAGGAGGATTCCAACATTTAAAAACATGATCAAGGAGAGAAACAACTATCTGGCTTTTAGAAGGAACCTGAAGGCAGATTTTCATGTTTGATGTCTTACTGTGGTTTTGTAATTTGCTGGGAGCTGCCCAGAGTGGATGGAGCAACTTAATAATAATAACATTAGTATTATTAGTATTAGTATTATTTTTGAAAATGATTTTTGATTATTTTTATTAAAATCCAATATATGCCACATTGTATCAATACCAAATTACCATTCCAATTAAAGTATCAAATCAATTAAAAAGCCAATTGCACGTTTTAGATGGCCCTCCGCGTGCCGGATTTCAAGGGAAGATAATTTCATTTAATTCTGCTTCCAGAGTCTTACTGAAATGCAATTACATTTCAACCTTCGTCATGATCCCTTATACAACAGCTACAATGTTTTTGACTTCTATTCGTATTAACACGTTTAGTAATTTGTATTCCTGCAAGCGAAGTTCTATATCCTTTATTGTTGCTGTTTTCTGTTTGCGTTTATTTATTTTGCCCATACTGTTTCTTTCTGTCCTTACAAATAATAATTTATTATGTATACCCTGCCCATCTGGCTGGGTTTCCCCAGCCACTCTGGGCGGCTCCCCACAGAATATTAAAAGTACGATAAAACATCCAGCATTAAAAACTTCCCTTCAGGTGTCTTCTAAAAGTCAGATAGTTGTTTATTTCCTTGACATCTGACGGGAGGGCGTTCCACAGGGAGGGGCCACCACTGAGAAGGCCCTCTGCCTGGTTCCCCGTAACCTCGCTTCTCGCAGGGAGGGAACCGCCAGAAGGCCCTCGGAGCTGGACCTCCGTGTCCGGGATGAACAATGGGGGTGGAGACACTCCTTTGGGTCTACTGGGCCGAGGCCGTTTAGTAATAAAAACCAGCTCATTAAAAACAATAAAATGCACCAAAGCATTTAGGGCCAGCAATTAAAACATAGCCAAACGTTCTCCCTCGGGAGGTAGCGAACACTGCTTCCTTGCAGATTTTTAGGCAGAGCTTGGATGGCCATCTGTCTGGGATACTTTGACCGAGATTCTTGCCTTGCAGCGGGTCAGACTAGATGACCGCTGGGGTCCCTTGCAACTCTACAATTTGAGCATCTGTTGGAAGCAAGCTCCGCGGCAGAAGTCACTAGTCCTCAACAGTTTTCACTGGAACACCCCTGCTTGCAAAAGGCAGGCCATAGAGGAGCTTTTTCTTCCTCCTCGCTTGTTCGCCATCGGCCGCTTTTGTTTCTTTTTAACAGCGCCAAATTCACAGCACGGATCCTTTCTCCTTGCTGCAAGGACAACTCAGGGGGGGTGGACGGACAGGGGGTTGTTTTCCTTACCTACCTGGTTCCGTGTTTTGTGCGACTTCTGGAGCGATACCCGCCACTGATCGTACATTTTGATACTCAGGCTTGCGCAACTTCCATGTTTGCGCATCCAGCCGAAAAACTGCTTCAGCTCCCGGCGCAATGTGTTGTTGTGTTCCCCGCTTTTGGGTTCGCAGACCCCCGGCACACGTCCTGAGAAGGTTGGGAGAGGGAGGGGAAAGAATTAGATAAATTGACTTTATTACCTGGGTTATGAAGGCACCCTAAAGACATTAAAGCAAAGATTGTGGGATAATACACACAGTGACTTGCGATCTCGATCACACGCAGTCTGTAGTCCACTGGCAGTAGGAGTACAATATGGGCATGTCTTTAAGTTAACACCTTACACTAAAAACCTGACAGTACCAAATTATCGGGATGCAGGTGGTGCTGTGGGTTAAATCCTGTTGCTCCTGTTGCTCGGTCCCTGATCCTGCCAACCTAGCAATTCGAAAGCACACCAGCACAAGTAGATAAATAGGTACTGCTCCGGCAGGAAGGTAAACGGTAAACGGTGTTTCTGTGTGCTGCTCTGGTTCGCCAGAGTCATGCTGGCCACATGACCCGGAAGCTGTATGCCGGCTCCCTCAGCCAATAAAGCAAGATGAGCGCTGCAACCCCAGAGTCGTCTGTGACTGGACCTAATGGTCAGGGGTCCCTTTACCTTTATCAAATTATCAAAGGTTATTCACCAAAGCCAGACTAAACGTCTTTCCTTCTGCAGTGTAGAGAGGAGTTCCCTACCAGGACAGACTTTGCTTGTGTGCTCAAGACATCGATTCCATAAAACATATTTTGTTGCACTGTGCAAAATATGAGCAAGCCAGGGCTGAAGGAGGGCTATTTGAAATATTGCAAGAAGAATTGTTAGTTAAGGATGATCAAGAGCAATAGAGAAATTAAGAAATGCAGAATAAGTGATGAAGAACGAAAAATCATCAGAGGTGTTGAGGGAAGTCTAAAATATTGTGTAAGATAAGAAGTCACATTATATGATTGTTGGAAATGATATGTTAAAAAAACCAATAAAAATTTATTTTTAAAAAGGAAGAGGGAGACATGAGGAAGGCAGGAAGGAACTCGCCAGCATAGTTCAAGTTGAGAAAACGCGAGACTCCTGAATGTTAGGGTTGTGGGTTCGAGACAAACGTCCGGGGCCGGATTTAGGTTTGATGAGGCCCTTAAAAAGTCTGGGAACGTCTACTCTGAACCAGAAAGAGCCAGACACTCTTCTTTGTAGGGGAAAGCTGCTCCTTCCCCCTTGATCATTTTGACTGCCCTTTCCTAGACCTTTCGCTTTCCCTGCCTTGAAGCGAAAATCAGGTGTCCCCCTCCAGTAACCAGGAAAATGACATCATTTGCGAAAGTCTGGCCTGCGAAGGGTGTGAGCTTTTGGGGACGACTTCCGAGCTGGGAAATAAGAACAAGACCTCCAGCCTGGCCCCAGGACAAAATATCCAGGTGCTGGGCATACGAGGAGACTGGGATTTCTCCGGAGACGATTTCTCCCCATCCCCAAAGCCTGAGTTTGGCACGGGTCCGGTTCTCCGGACGCCTGCTCGGATTTCTGGGGAGGGGGGAAGAGGCGGCCGCGGCCGGGGAAGACCCCCGAGTGAGGGGATCGCGGATGCAGCTGCGAGGACCAAACCGCCGGGGCGAGGGATGGGGGCCACGCACCGTTCCGAGGGGTCGAGGCGGCCGTGGGGTTGCTCCATTCGCTCCAGATACCGGCCTTCTTGGAACCATAGATGCCGAAGGGGTTGCAGCGCACCTGGACAAAGTAGACCGTGCCGGGCCTCAGACCCGCGAGCCGGCACGAGGTTTGGTTGCCCACGTTGTCAACCACCTGCGGTGGGGGAGAAAGAGGCGTCGGAAAGGGGGCCTTTTTTCCAGGACGGAGTCATGGCCAGCCTTACCTGGAAATGTCAGGGGTTGAGGTCTAGGCCCAGCCCCTCCAACGTTTCTCCCCTGAAAATAGGGACGTCCTATTCCATCCCCTCCAACGTTTCTCCCCTGAAAATAGGGACGTCCTATTCCATCCCCTCTAACGTTTCTCCCCTGAAAATAGGGACGTCCCATTCCATCCCCTCCAACGTTTCTCCCTTGAAAATAGGGACGTCCTATTCCATCCCCTCCAAAGTTTCTCCCCTGAAAATAGGGACATCCTATTCCATCCCCTCCAACGTTTCTCCCATGAAAATAGGGATGTCCTATTCCATCCCCTCCAACATTTCTCCCCTGAAAATAGGGATGTCCTATTCCATCCCTTCCAACGTTTCTCCCGTGAAAAGAGGGACGTCCTATTCCATCCCTTCCAACGTTTCTCCCGTGAAAATAGGGACGTCCTATTCCATCCCCTCCAACATTTCTCCCCTGAAAATAGGGACGTCCTATTCCATCCCCTCCAATGTTTCTCCCGTGAAAATAGGGACATCCTATTCCATCCCTTCCAACGTTTTCCCCGTGAAAATACGGACGTCCTATTCCATCCCCTCCAACGTTTCTCCCATGAAAAGCGGGACCTTCCGGGATAAAAACAGAAACCGGGGCGGCTTCTCTAAATCAGGGACATCTCCGGAAATTTGGGATACTTGGTGGGTGTGCTTTTGCCCCCAAACATTTTGGGTTTAGCTGGCGCTGCCCGCCATGGGCTCTTCTCTCCACACATCACTGCCTCCGGCTCCGCCCCCATTCAGATGCCCCTCCCACCTGACCCCCGCCGGCGGGCGAGTCCCTCACCTTCCACTCGGTGCTGTCCTCTACGCGGTACTGAATCTGGTACTTGGCTTGGAAGAGAAAGTCCTTCAGGGCCGGAGGGGCACTCCAGCGGACACTTAGCTGGTCCTCGAGGTCACCGACACGGTTGACGTGGACGTTCGAGGGCGGGTCGGTCGTGACTGTCAGAGGAACGCAACAGGCAGTGCCAGATTTACGTATAAGCTAAACAAGCTATAGATTAGGGCCCCACTCTCTTGGGGGCCCCAGAAAAATTTAAAGGGAAAAAAAACCTGAATATACAGTGTTTCAAAAAAATCACGTTAATTTGCTGTTTTAGGGGTTGTTTTTAAAAGTATGGAACGGATTAACCTGTTCTGCATTCCTTTCTATGGGTCTTGGTTTTGGAATGCTTTGGAACGGACTTCCCGAATGGATTAAGTTTGAGAACCGAGGGACCACTGTATTCTTGTAAAATACGTGGACCGAACAGTTCGTCTCGCTGAGTTACCGTTAAGTTTCCATTGCGCAAAAAGTGCTCAGACGGTTCCGTTCCACCGTGTAAATATTTTCTTTCTTTTCTAATATATGCAAATTCTTCCCCCCAAAAAAATAATAGTTCAATTTCGTTGTTCTTTTCAGTTTCGTTGTTCTGTACGGGACAGTGACAATAAAGATATCGTATCGTATAATTGTTGCAGATGAAACCGAGATATCTCCAGAACAGACTTCCATTTTGCCTTTTAAGGGAGTTAACCTTGCTTCTCGCAGACTTGGGACATGCACATCTCCCCCGCTTATGGGGCAGCCGTGACACATCGCAGCCCGCAGGCGACTCCCGGCGATCGCACGTGCAGGATCTGACCTCGGCGGGGGTCCAGGCACAAAGGGAAAGGGTTAAGGAGAACCAGATGTCTGGAAGGAGCCAGAAAGGGAGAGCGCGATCCAGGAGAGAGAGCTCCTAATTAAATTAAGAGACCAATTCCGCTCACATACAATATATTTCCTGCTTCTCCTCTCCGGGACGCCCCAGACAACCCCTGTTTCTACCCCCCCCCCCGCACGTTTCCTGGCTCTGCTAATGAGGTCATCGCCTCCCCTCCGCGTGATGTCACAGGTGCCCGGCGGTGACATCACTGCACTGTGGAAGGTGGTGAAAGTGGGGTTTTTCCCCTTCTCGTTTTTGTTTTTATTAAAGGTTTTCTTGTTTTACAGAAGTGAGTGTAATGTTTCTCGTATTTTTTCCATGTAATGTTTTACAAATCTCATTTGTTGAGACATTGGGGGTGGAGGGGGGGGAAGATGGGGGGGTCGGGTGGCGATGTTTCTATTATGCTTAATGTATGTAGGGTTTGGTGTCAGCGTTGCTTGTGCTGTTTTTTGCGAAAATGTTTTATTTTTCCTTTTTAAAAAAACTTTCAAAAAGAAAGAAAAGATCTGCTCTGATTCTCCTCCACTAGCTATCTATATCTAACTATCTCTCTCTCTCTATCTCTATCTATCTATCAATCTGTCTGTCTGTCTATCTATCTATCTATATCTATCTATCTATCTATCTATCTATCTATCTATCTATCTATCATCTATCTATCTATCATCTATCTATCATCTCTCTCTCTCTTTATCATCTCTCTCTCTCTCTCTCTAGCTATCATCTATCTATCTATCTATCTATCTATCTATCTATATCTATCTATCTATCTATCTATCTATCATCTATCTATCATCTCTCTCTCTCTCTCTCTCTCTCTCTCTCACACACACACACACACACTCATCTATCTATCTATCATCTATCTATCTATCTATCTATCTATCTATCTATCTATCTATCTATCTATCTATCTATCTATCATCTCTCTCTCTCTCTCTCTCTCTCTCTATCATCTATCTATCTATCTATCTATCTATCTATCTATCTATCTATCATCTATCTATCTATCTATAAAAATATAAATGGCAAAAACAAGCCAGTGTCTGGGGGAGAAACACACATTTTTTACATACAGAAACTCACTAAGACGGTTTTCTGGAGACGAACAGCCCATAACCCACAACAGAAGCACTGTCTGGAAGAAAGAGCTCGCGGGACTTCCTTACCTACGTCCACAATGTCCAGCATGACCACGTCGGACGTGGATTCCCCCAGCCGGTTGGTGGCTACGACCCAAATCTCGTAGGGCGTGAAGAGGGCCAGATCCTTTGGGATGTGGCAGGTGTAGGGCCCGGCTGTGTGATATTCCCGGCAAACGTTGTCTCGCCCGTACCACCTAGAATGGAAGCGCCAGGATACCGTCGTCGTGGGATGTGATACAGAAGTAGCAGCCAAGTAAAGGGACCCCTGACCGTTAGGTCCAGTCGTGGCCGACTCTGGGGTTGCGGCGCTCATCTCGCTTTACTGGCCGAGGGAGCCGGCGTACAGCTTCCGGGTCATGTGGCCAGCAGGACTAAGCCGCTTCTGGTGAACCAGAGCAGCGCACGGAAACGCCATTTACCTCCCGCCGGAGCGGTACCTATTTATCTACTTGCACTTTGAGGTGCTTTCGAACTGCTAGGTGAGCAGGAGCAGGGCTGAGCAACGGGAGCTCACCCTGTCATTTCGGGGATTCGAACCGCCGACCTTCTGATCGGCAAGTCCTAGGCTCTGTGGTTTAACCCACAGCGCCACCCGCGTCCCTTGAGCAGCCAAGTACAACATTAAATAGAGGAAATAAGCTCGGGCACTTCAGAGATAGACTGCCTCTGAACCCAGAGGCTGCATTTAGCATGATATCCATTTTTATATGCATCCAGTCGCTTCAAAATATTAATACCTGCAATGGACACAGCATGAAAGGAACATGGTTTGGGAGGGAAGAGGAAATAAGAAAGCTCAGACACTTCAGAGACAGACTGCCTCTGAACCCGAAGGCTGCATTTAGCATCCTGGCCAACCGACACGGATAGAGCGACTCGATTTATCTAACTATACCTGGATTTTGTCTCACCTGGGAGGCATCTGCACCCTGCCAGGCTTAAAGAGAGCTTCCGATCCTTTGCCAGGCCAAGCCGCCACCTCCTCCTCTCAGGGCCTTACCTCAATTTGTACTTCAGGGTGTAATTGGTGTGCAGGTAGGTCTCTCCTCTGTCCCAGGGGTCCACCTGCAGGTGAGGTCCTTTAGATTTTTGGACCAGCAGGAGATGTTCGTCGGTTTCTCTGGCGGCACTAGAGGATGAAAATATAGAATAATCATGATGATGATTTATTTATACCCCGCACATCTGGCTGTGTTTCCCCAGCCACTCTGGACGGCTCCCGATAGAAAATTAAAATCACGATGAAACATCAAACACTTCCCTAAACAGGGCTGTCTTCAGATGTCTTCTAAAAGTCAGGTATTATTTCCTTGACATCTGGTGGGAGGGCGTTCCACAGGGCGGGCGCCACCACCGAGAAGGCCCTCTGCCTGGTTCCCTGTAACCTCACTTCTCGCAGGGAGGGAACCGCCAGGAGGTCCTCGGAGGTGGACCTCAGTGACCGGGCTGGACAATGGGGGTGGAGACGCTCCTTCAGGGATACTGGCCATTTAGGCCTTTCAAGGTCAGTGCCAACACTTTGAATTGTGCGCGGAAACGTCCTGGGAGCCAATGTAGGTCTTTCAGGACCAGTGTTATATGGTCTTGGCGGCCGCTCCCAGTCCCCAGTCTGGCTGCCGCATTCTGGATTAATTGCAGTTTCCGGGTCACCTTCAAAGGTAGCCCCACGTCGAGCGCATGGCAGTAGTCCAAGCGGGAGATAACCAGAGCATGCACCACTCTGGCCAGACAGTCCGCGGGCAGGGAGGGTCTCATCCTGCGTACCAGATGGAGCTGGCCTGGACACAGAATTGACTTGCACCTCCATGGACAGCTGTGAGTCCAAAATGACCCCCAGGCTGCACACCTGGTCCTTCGGGGGCACAGTCACCCCATTCAGGACCAGGGAGATACAAGTCATCAGAATGTGATATTAACAGGGAAAGAAACATGCTCAGCTCTTGAAAAAGAACAGCCCATTTTTGGGGGGAAACAGAAACTCTTCTCTTGCTTGGCACCAGTGCAATGTTTAAACCTTATCCTCTGTGTAGCAACGATTTGGACCGGAGCGTTTGTGCGTCGCTGCGGCAGGGTGGGCGTTGGAGCAAAATCTTTCCCATTTCCCAGCCGGAGGTTCCCATCTTTCTGAGAGGAGGGATCTTAAAAATAGCTTGCGATAAAAATCTTACGAATATTGATTTGGACAACTGCAATTTGGCAGCGCCCCGCCAAAATAGCTTTTTCCCGGGGAAAGAGCCCTTGCTGGCTAACGATGGCAGGCCTTGCTACGAAACTCCGGAGACCAGAAAGCGTTTTTATTACCCAAAGGCCTGGGAAGAAACGGCCGGGGCGTGTTAGCGTGGGAAAAGGGGGCTGACGGGTCTGGCCATGGGAGAAGTTGAACCTGGAGGTGGTTGTGTGATCATAACGAGGCAGAAGGCAGAATCGGGATTCAAAATGGAGACTGGAGAACAAAATGAATTTCAACAGGGACAAACGTCAGGTTCTGCAATTAGGCAGGAAGAACACCAATTTAAAGATGGAGGGGACGGACATCTGGCTTACTAGCAGTACATGGGGAAAGGATCTGGGGGTCTTAGTGGACCACAAGCGGAACGTGAGCCCACAGGGTGATGCAGCAGCAAAAAGGCGAATGCTATTCTAGGCTGCATCTACAGAAGTCTAGTGTCCAGATCAAGGGAAATCATAAAGGTAAAGGGACCCCTGACCATTAGGTCCAGTCGTGGCCGACTCTGGGGTTGCGGCGCTCATCTCGCTTTATTGGCCGAGGGAGCCGGCATACAGCTTCCGGGTCATGTGGCCAGCATGACTAAGCCGCTTCTGGCGAACCAGAGCAGCACACAGAAACGCCGTTTACCTTCCCGCCAGAGTGGTACCTATTTATCTACTTGCACTTTGACGTGCTTTGAACTGCTAGGTGGGCAGGAGCAGGGACCGAGCAACGGGAGCTCACCCGGTCACAGGGGATTCGAACCGTCAACCTTCTGGTTTAACCCACAGCGCCCAAATTTTTCAGAAACACAAGGAAATGTTAGGGGTCCCCCCCACACCCCCATTTGCAAGCAGAGGGTCACAGACTCAGCCATTGAAGATCCCGCCGGACGGTGGAATGGATTGGAGTTGCCTAGAAATGGGCAAGGCCAGCTGGCTGGCTATACTGCAAAATTTTGTTGCAGGAGAGGGGAGATATTTTTTTTCCAGACGTACATCCTACATAGAGACAGGATCCGGCCAAAATGCCTCCGCCTTCCTTGCTGTGGCAGACCAGGTTGTCCCCCGACTGCTGCTGCGATCCGTTCAGGTTAGAGATCGTGACGCCCAGGGTGTTGGCGCTGAGGACCTTGTACGTCTGCGACGGGAGCCGCCGGCCGTTCAGAGTCCAGTAAAGGTCTTCGGCTCGCAGGCTCGAGTCGGCAGCAACCGAACAGTTGGCCGTGAGCGAGGAGCCGATGCGGAGAGTCGGGTCTTGGGGGAGGATGACGGCCGGGTCTGCAGGGGAGAGGAGGGGAGAGAGAGAAAGAAAATTGGGCAAGGAAGATCAGGACCAGGTGCGCAGCCTGGGGGTCATTTTGGACCCACAGCTGTCCATGGAGGCGCAGGTCAATTCTGTGTCCAGGGCAGCTCCATCTGGGACGCAGGATGAGACCCTCCCTGCCGGCAGACTGTCTGGCCAGAGTGGTGCATGCTCTGGTTATCTCCCGCTTGGACTACTGCCATGCGCTCTCCGTGGGGCTACATTTGAAGGTGACCCGGAAACTGCAACTAATCTAGAATGCGGCAGCCAGACTGGGAACTGGGAGTGACCGCCGAGACCACATAACACTGGTCTTGAAAGACCTACATTGGCTCCCAGGACGTTTCCGAGCACAATTCAAAGTGTTGGTGCTGACCTTGAAAGCCCTAAATGGCCCGGTATACCTGAAGGAGTGTCTCCACCCCCATCGTCCAGCCCGGACACCTGGGTCCATCTCCCGAGGGCCTTCTGGCAGTTCCCTCCCTGCGAGAAGCGAGGTTACAGGGAACCAGGCAGAGGGCCTTCTCGGTGGTGGCGCCCGCCCTGTGGAACGCCCTCCCATCAGATGTCAAGGAAATAAACAACTACCTGACTTTTAGAAGACATCTGAAGGCAGTCCTGTTTAGGGAAGCTTTTAACGTTTGATCTTTTATCGTGTTTTTAATATTCTTCTGGGAGCCGCCCAGAGTGGCTGGGGAAACCCAGCCAGATGGGCGGGGTATAAATAATAAAATATTATTATTGCTCGGCTCCCAAGCCATATCCCAGGACATTCTCGGACGTACGGGGCGTCCCTCACTTTGCAGATTGTTTCCATCGCTATTGTAGCATACGTATCTCTTTCATGAGATTTGTTCCTCGCCGGGTTGCCAGAACGAAACGAGAACCTCGGAGCGGTTTACAAAGACAAGATCTCTTGACCGAAAGCTCAGGAGACGCCCTATTCCTGCGACTGCAATTTGTTCTTTAATTCTGGATTTCGGAAGGTCAACCAGATGTTTTTTTAACATCTGCCGCTCTGGCAGATGTCGACAAACGCATCGGTTATATTTGCACTAGGCGCAAGGAAGATCGGGGCAACCTTTTTGGGGAATACAAATGCCAAACCCCAGGATTAGGCTGACCAGAAGGAATGTTTTCTGAAATTCTGGACATTGTAGATTTGTCTTGGTCTGGTGTATGCAAAGCCTTCCATTCTGTAGCTCGGCGATTTGAGCTTATATGGTCTTGCCATGGCCATTGGCTGTAAACAATTAAAAAAACACAAACTGCTGGTATTGAAATTTTAAAATGTTGCAACCCACCTTGGGACTGCTGGCGAAGGGTGAGTTATTTTGGAGCTAAATGGGACCCTGAGGGTCATCCAGCCCGACCCCCCAGAAATGCAGGAATCTTTTGCCCAACTTGGGATTCGAACCCACGACCCCTGAGATGAAGAGTCTTGTGCTCTACCAAATAAATGAATTAATACTACTCCTCTTTTATTACGTTTATTATATGCACTTTAAATGTGCTTTAAATGTACGGTTTGGATTAATAAGAATAAATAAACAAATATTAGCAGTAATAATAATAAGAAGAATAAATTTTATTTATATCCCGCCCTACCCAGCCGAAGTCGGGCTCAGGGCGGCTAACAATAAAATAATGCAACATTCTAAAATCGTTTCATTATAAAATTAAATCAAATAAATATTCCAAACCATACCTTGAAAGTAAGTTCTCCCCTCTCTCTCTCTCTCTCTCTCTCTCACACACACACACACACACATATATATGATTTTATAATTTACATTTCAAAATATTTATTTAAACAACCTTAAATCAATGGCTTTCCTTCTTCTCTGCATATCATCCATTGCTGCATATTTTACATGAACGAAACCATTCAGTAATCCATTGTTACATCCATCAAAACTTATTTATGCTGCTGAGTTTATCTTAATGCTCAATGAACAAAATTTTCACCCATATATTCAATCAACATTTCCTTCTTTAAACGTGCTTTCGCAACATCAGGGTCTTTTCCAGGGAGTCTTCTCTTCTCCTGAGGTGGCCAGAGCATTGGAGCCTCAGCTTCAGGATCTGTCCTTCCAGTGAGCACTCAGGGCTGATTTCCTTCCGAATGGAGAGGTTGGATCTTCTTGCAGTCCATGGGACTCTCAAGAGTCTCCTCCAGCACCAGAATTCAAAAGCATCAATTCTTCAGCGATCAGCCTTCTTTATGGTCCAGTTCTCACTTCCATACATCACTACTGGGAAAACCATAGCTTTAACGATACGGACCTTTGTTGGCAAGGTGATGTCTCTACTTCTCAAGATGCTGTCTAGGTTTGCCATCGCCTTTCTCCCAAGGAGCAGGCGTCTCTTAATTTTGTGACTGCTGTCTCCATCTGCAGTGATCATGGAGCCCAAGAAAGTAAAATCTCTCACTGCCTCCATTTCTTCCCCTTCTATTTGCCAGGAGGTGATGGGACCAGTGGCCATGATCTTCGTTTTTTTTTTATGTTGAGCTTCAGACCATAATTTGCGCTCTCCTCTTTCACCCTCAATAAAAGGTTCTTTAATTCCTCCTCACTTTCTGCCATCAAGGTTGTGTCATCTGCATATCTGAGGTTGTTGATATTTCTTGCGGCAATCTTAATACTTGGAAGCTCAAAAAAGAGATCATAGTATCATCGAATTGTACATTCGATAGGGACACCCAGGGTCATCTAGTCCAACCCTCTGCATCTTCAACTGAAGATGCCCCCCCAGATTAAAAGTGGGGAACCTTTGGCCCTCACGATGTTCCTGAGCTATGACCCCGCAAGTGTGGGGTGCAAGTTGTAGCCATCAACTTCTGGAGGGTGAAAGGGGTTGGAGTCTCAGACTAGGACCTGGGAGAGACTTGATTTCGAATCCAGCTCATGTGGGTGGCTTCAGGGGCCGGTCACTGCCTCCCAGTCCAAACTGCCTCGCAGAGTTATTGGGGGGGGGGTTAAACGGGGGGGGGGGGAGAGCAACACACAGCCCACCTCGAACTCCTTCGGAGGAAACGCCAGGATGTAAACATACAGAGGTTTCTTTCCCTCTTGCGGGATGCCAGCTTCCACCGCCGCTCGGAGTCCGGCAACATCTGGAGGGAAAGCGCCGATTCTTCTCTTCTCCTCAACCCCCCCCATGCCCTGATCCTTTGCAAGGCTAATTGATCCTTTGGTGGGAATACGGCCCGCAACATCTGGACCCACTCAGCGAAAGGGCAACCAAATATTGAGGTAATTGGTTCCGTCTGCGGAGAGCCAAGACGAATTCTGCTTAGTGTCCGTAGCAGCAGAGGGGAAAAGCCTCCTCCTTAGTTGTTCCGATTGTTCCATCCAGCCTAGTATTGTCCACACGGGCTGGCAGCAGACCCGCAAGGGTTTCAGGCAGGGTGCCTCTAGCCCACCCTGTCTGGGGAGGGCGGGTTTGGAACCCGGGGCTTTCTGCATACAGAGCAAAAGCTCTGCCCATACAGATTGGCGGTTCTTCCCTTAAAAACAAAGCAAGATTCCAGTCCTCATGGGGTTGCCACTTCCTCCCCCCCAGATACACCCTTTTTTCATGTGTAAAACGAGAGTCGTCATAGCAATCCACAGTTAAAACTTGGCCGTTGTGTCCTCTTTTTTCCCATACAGTGGTCCCTCGCAAGACGAATGCCTCGCAAGACGGAAAACTCGCTAGACGAAAGGGTTTTTTGTTTCCTGAGCTGCTTCGCAAGACGATTTTCCCTATGGGCTTGCTTCTCAAGGCGGAAACGTCTTGCAAGTTTGCTTCCTTTTTCTTAACACCGTTAATACAGTTGCGACTTGACTTCGAGGAGCAATTCATAGAACGCGGTGTGGTAGCCTTTTTTGAGGTTTTTAAAGACTTTGGTGATTTTTGAAGCTTTTCCAAAACTTTCCCGACACCGTGCTTCGCAAGACGAAAAAAATCGCAAGGCGGCAAAACTCGCGGAACGAATTAATTTCGTCTTGCGAGGCACCACTGTATTCAAAATATGGCAAGCCTAGTCAGGAAGTGAGAGCTGGACCATAAAGAAGGCTGATCGCTGAAGAATGGATGCTTTTGAATTCTGGTGCTAGAGGAGACTCTTGAGAGTCCCATGGACTGCAAGAAGATCAAACCTCTCCATTCGGAAGGAAATCAGCCCTGAGTGCTGACTGGAAGGACAGATCCTGAAGCTGAGGCTCCAAGACTTTGGGCACCTCGGGAGAAGAGAAGACTCCCTGGAAAAGACCCTGATGTTGGGGAAGATGGAGGGCGCAAGGAGAAGGGGGCGACAGAGGACGAGATGGTGGGACAGTGTTCTCGAAGCTAGCAGCATGAGTTTGACCAAACTGCGGGAGGCAGTGGAGGACAGGAGGGCCTGGTGTGCTCTGGTCCAGGGGGTCACAAAGAGGCGGACACGACTAAACGACTCAACAACAACAACAACAGAGTACAGGACGTCCCCAAAACACAGCAATTACCAAAGGATGTCAGGTCCGTCCGTCCCCGACGAAGGAGGGGAGGGATGGGGCAGGAAAACAGCGGAGGAGTCTACACAAATCTGCGACGCAGGCCAAAATCTTTCCAGGATCTGTTTTCCAGAGGGATTTTGAGGCTGGCGGAGATGGAGAGCCCCTCTGCAGGGGACCCCCAATTTTCCATCCGTCGTTCTAAATTCTAGCAAAAAAACCCCAGTGGTCCGGAGGACGCCTGCTATTTTCCTCCCATAGCCTTCCTTCCCCCAGATGCAAGAACCCCCAAAAACATGTGTTTTAAAAGGGAAAGGTGTGAAATTTTCACACCGGGAGAGGAAAATCTGGAGAGATTATGGGGAGTTTCAGTCCCACTATACCTGTGAAGGATTTTATCACTTTCTCCTTCTATTTTTATTTATTTTCTCCTACTGATCAGGTGTTAAGTTATGCCGGGAAGTGAAACCAGATTTCCAAGGTGTCGGAGACATTTA